TGAAATCAAATGAAGGAAATTGTGATTTCCAGCAGCACAAGAATTATACTTATATCAGCGCAGTTTGTACAAGACTTTTATAATACGCGTTGGGTGAAACAAATTAGAAATAGTTTTGAAATCAAAACACATATGTTTAAGGGCAAAGTCTGTCTTTGGCGACTTTAATGAAAATTGATTAAAAATCGAAATCGTCCAAAGCTGGAAGTAAAATCGAGATTTAACTGTTTTGCCATATCGCCCAGCCCAACATGAATCTGTTCCTGTCTATCTTTAATGTTGTCTTTAATGTTGAGACACAAAGCCATATGCTACACCCTCATCTATGACCAGTTGTTATGACCTTGATTAGCAGTTTTTTGCAATCGTGTTAGCTAGCCATGTTGTCAGTGCACTACAACTCTTGATCAGTTATTGAGTGTAACCCAGGTAGAAAACCCTGCGAGTTTATTCCCTTCTTAGATCAAATAAAAAAAAAGTATTATATTGATAATTGTATTGAGCATTGTAATAATTAGTATTATATTGAATTGAATGCATCGCCGCGTCACGTGACTGTGCGCTATACTCTCATTGGCTTATATGCCGGCAGTAGCACACACACCGGTAACGCGAGGTTGAAGCTGGGAGGGTGAATTGCTGCAGGTAGGTTTTGTAGAATTCTTTCTAAAATTATTTTAAAACGCTGGATTGGTTTAACATGTGTGGCAATCGGATGCTTAGGAGCCGAGGACGGGGTCCGTGCTACTTCTCAGAGCGAGTAAGGCAGAAGTTCGGGACTAGGTGAGTGCTTGTTGTTAGCATGTTAGCACCATACAAACCAATGGAGGCTAAGCGCTAGCGCTAATGCTAATCGGGGGAGATCTCTTTTAGAGTCGATCCTATTACTTTTCTCACATATTGGACCATGTCATGCGGTTCTGTTCATGTGTAGTGTGTTGTGTATATGTAACCCCTAACGGGCTATTCTGTGGGTGCACTTTGGTGGCGGTTTTTAGCCAGTTATACCAACATTTGTACTGCACTTCTCTGCATTGTAAGCACCAGCACTGCTCTTGTGTTTATCAATCAATAGACACTATTTTAAGAATTTTTATATCAATGTATTTGACAAATGATAATTGGAAGCACTGATTATTTATTTTGTGTGATATAGATGCTGATTATTTAAAGATTATGTCCTTGAATTATTGGACTAGATACTTTGATGTGCACATGATTTATGGTTGGTCCTGTTGTATACACAGGCCTTGTCAGATGGCGAGCTAGAGACCTGAACTATTGGAGTCATCATCTCGCTTAACTCCACTGGGCTCTCCACAAAGGGTCCACATTGTCCTCTTGGGACTCAGGAGTCAGCGGAACTTCATCTGCTCTGAGCAGGACGGGTAGGAGGCTCCTGCAGCCGCCTTCTTTAATTTTCATAACCTCAACTCTTCCTCGGGTGCCTCGGTCCGTGGCGACCGCGTCCAACCGTGTTCCGCGCTGTGTGGAATATTTTCGCTCTCAGGGAAATAAGCACTGAATGGACTATTGGAATACCGCTTGAACTTTTGTTGCATTTGTGACTTTTGTTGCATTGGAACTGGACTTTGTATATATCGTATGGCCATTCACTGGGGTTGGGTTGTGGGGTAAATGTTCTCTGTGTCCTTGTCTTATGTGTGTGCAATATATGGTACCAACAAAACCCAAAAGACTGTCTTGTGTATGTTTCACTCACTCCCAGAGCCGATACCTAGCTCTTCTGATCTAGCCAATTGATGTTCTCTCTTGTTGAAAAAAAGTCTAGTTAACCCAGGGACCGGTTACAGAGTGTTATGCCGCAAAATGAACATTGGTGAATGGGATACGTCTCGATGACCCAGGTACGTGGACAAGCGAAGAGATAACAGCCCAAACTTCAGTGACCGAACATCCACTAAAAACTGACGGCTCTACAATTTCTCACAACAAACCAACACGGCGATTTAAACACAAGCTAGCTGGAGCCGATTTCCTTATACGGACATGTGTTCCGACGGCGTTAGCTTCATACTGTAACAGGGGCAGACGTGTTGCTAAGGTGGTTGCTAAGGGAAGCTGGAGTTTCCCTGTGAGTGAAGGCCTCTGATTGATCAATGCCTATATGGCTCATATCTAAATATAAAAAAACGGTTACTTTCATATGCAAGTTAGTATCGTTCATCTATCTACAGGCTTTGAGAAGAACATCTGATTGGAAACAGAACTGAAACAGAATTTAAATGTTGATACTACATTTGTTTTATACATTAATTATCTCATAGCATCCATTTCATAGCCACAAACAAGAGACAACTTGAGCAAAACCACCCTTTCCCAAACTTACATTACGCCTCATCCACCTTGATGTAAATATGTTTTATTGTCTTTGGAAAAGGCAGCTCCCAAAAAAATTGTTTATTGGGGGAAAAACTTACCACAGCAGTGAGTACACAACTCCAACCATGAAACAGGATGTTACTAATACAAACTAAAACCAATGGAAAGGTTTAGTGAAAAAATAATAATAATAATCAGATTCCATTCTCGTCGTCAGGCTACAATCAAATCGAAACAACAATTTGTATAGCGTATTTCATTTCACAGACCAAGGTCACACAAAGCGCTTTACAATTCCTGCTTTAAACCTTGTACAATCCTTTACTGATGTGTGCTGCTTTAGTGTCAGTAATTATGACTGTATTTGTTTATCATTTACTATATTTATTATTAAAGTCCAAAAAATAAACTTAAAGTATAAAGCCTGGTCACACTGTAGAATACCGTGAAAAAGCCAAGATCTATAAATATTAGTTTTAAGCAATAATTCACCAAAAATTAACCCGTAATGAAAATTCCCTTTAACCAAATGTGAAACTGGCACAATGTTTATTTTGTTAGTTGAGGAATTTTGTTTGGTTATGTGGCCGTCGTACTAAACAAAAAACAACGAAAAGTTTTCAAACACATGCGATAAGTCTTCCATCTGCTCAGGCTTCATTCAATCCAAAGTATTCCTGCACCAGCAATGTGAGATATTGTTTTTACCAGTGACCCTGTGGCTTATCGGCTCGCTTCAAGGCTCTTTTGATTACATCTGCCCCCACAGTATCTACTGACACAGCTGTGAAAGTTACATTTTTAACATTTATTCTGACCGATATACTGCAGAGAAGAAGTCAAAATGATATAACGGCACATATTAAACAAAAACCATTTCGAAAAGGACTGACGGTCTATCCAATCACATCACAAAAAGTCCTCTCTCTCTCTCTCTGACCCATCAGTCAAGTCAAAGCTATCAAATATTCAGCTTCATATTTTATTAAACTGGTCAAAAATAACACCAGTATTCCCACTCGGGGTTTTGAAACCTCGCAACCATTCCTGGAACCCATAAAACTCTTCCTGTAGAATTCTTGAAAGTCTATTACGTTCTGTCCCCACTCCCCAGACGTATATAGATTTGTCAAATTATGCAAGCGTGGTGTACGGATGAACACGTTATAATCAAGCCGCAATTAGCATAGGTATGAAATATCACTGTCATTAGCGTAGGGTTACCAGAGAGCAGGTGTCTATGTGTTTATACCAATGTATGCGAGGTCTTTCCATCCCACAAGGCTCATACCGAACATGGCCCAAAGCAGATGGCCACAATTCCCGAAGCCCAGAAGTAAATAGGAGGAGTGTTTTGAAATGGCAAGTGTGGAAGGATTTCTCCACCTGGGGCGGGGGGTAATCCTCTTTTCAGCGAGGAGCGGCTTAAAAGGTAGTGTCCCGTTTGCAAAAGTCTCCCCTCGCTGTAAAAATCCTCAGATACAATCTATTGGTTTCCCGTGCGGCCAAACTAACAGAGATAAAGTGGCATAATCAGGAAATTGCTTAGAGAGAGGCTGCCATGTTGGGGCTTCACGCTTGTCAGTCCAATGAGTAGAATAGTGGGTAAAGAAGGAGAGAAGGTTTGTGGATTCAGCTATTTCTTATGTTGAAAACTATTGAAGAGGATATAGCAAGTTTATGTTATAGGTTAGGGCTTAGTTTGAGAGAATAGAAAATGTGAATTGTGAGTAGCCATTTCAATGAGTCGTGAAAAAAAGTATCTTGGCGCACTTTTTCCTCTTTTTGGTTTTAAAACTGTCCTTTATATATCGCTGCTAACTGTAACTCAGTACTGCACCTTATTGGACAGTATTTTAGTATATATGCAGGGAACTTTTTATTAAACAATATTTTCATACGTAGTCTTGCACTTTGATTGAACTGTATTCTAATGTATATTTCAGCAACCTTTTGTATCCTTAACAAATTAAACTTAATACCAAGTAGCAAGAGACTTTGTTTGTTTGTTATGTATATATACACAACTAAAGGTTAGAACTTTTAGGTTGAGACAATTTTGACATTTTAATTGAGTTGTGAATGAAGTAACTTGGCTGGTAACTCTTGACAGCGAATAGAGGAAACAAAGTGCATAAAGGTTACAATCCTAAGAGGTTTGTTCATTAACCGGTTATTAGTTTAGATAAAGCACTTTAATAATCTTGCACTGAAACCGTTTTTGTTCAATTGATCAATTTCAGAGTGACAATCCACTCCTGCACTTATCATCTTGTTTTAATCCTGTACTTTTTGCTTGTTTTATATTTTGTCTGGTGCACACTGTGGACTTTTGCAGATGTATTTCAATGAGGTTTTACAGCAAATGACGAATAAAATTAAGATGCATCAACGAAAAAACCAACAACAACAAAACATCCAGAGAGCAGACACAGTGTCAACGCTGGACCCTACACAGAAGTTATGAAGATATAAAGTTGTGACAGGCAGATCCACAGAGCCCCTGGAGCAGAGAGGAGATGAGGAGGACTGCTGTAGATCCATGGGGCCGAGAAGGGGGGCGTGAGATCCCGTCAGAGGCAGAGGCAGGTGGTGTAAAACAAAGACAGCGGAGGACGCACAAAGCCTCACGCGTTTTAGAAATGCAGAAAACTCACCTGCATGTGTGATGTCGGACAGGTCGTAGTTCCTGGCGCTCCGGGGGAACTCCTTTAGTTTGCGATTGCTTAAGTTGAGAGCTCCACTGGCTGCAGCCTCCTCCAGCGCCTTCTCCACGCTGCGACTGGCCGCTACTGTGGCCGGCAGCTGGCACCCATCGCCCGCAGCCATAAACGCAGCGTCAGCCTCCTCTTTCACTTTCTTCCACAGCTCCTCCGCACTTTCATGCCCCGTGAAGCAGGGCAGACTCCACACAGAGCCCGGACGAACACAAAACTTGTAGAAAAGTACAGAGGTAAATCCACGGGGAGGGGGGGGAGGCTGTTGGAGAGCAGCGGTGATCTCCGAGCGCACACAACGGAGAGTGGAGCCGATAAGAGAGAGGCTCAAGCTGTCAATCTACAGGAAGTCAAGCGCGAGGCTTTCACACGAGGAGACCGGAAGTACCAGCTGTTTTCAAGTGCAAAGCTGCCGCATGGTCATGACATCATAGGGTTAGGGTTCTGTATAATAATAACAATAATAATAATAATAATAATAATAAGTGAAGCTAGCCAATTCACTTCATTAACAAAAAAAGAAATGATGAAAACAGATGTATCTTTAGCTGTGTACATTACATAAAAGTATATATTTATTTGCAGTAGAGAATACATACATAAATTTTTTTATCTTTATTATATTTTTCATACTTCACTGTGGGACGAATGAAGAATCTCTCAATCTGAATCTTTTTTCTGCGTTTTAGAAATTGATCATTTTTTAGGTTGACTTTATGTGTAGTGTTAGGATTTAGCAGACAGAGACGGATCGTGGTGTGCCAAACTCTGGAAGTTTATTTAAGTTTCTCTCAAGTTCCACTGGTTTCCTCTGTTTCTTCCTCTCAGACAGAATAAAGGCAGTACACAGTTTATATAGTCATTGTCACGTCACACATCGAAAGACATACGTGTCACAAAGAGACAGTCACATCATAGTCATAACATGGAGTCCTTGTAGAGTCCTTGTACAGTCCTGCACGTAGGCCATATTGCTATCTAATACTAATACCCTCCCCTTTGATCACATAATCACATGTGATCACTCAAATCAATCAATCAATAAAGTGGAAAAAGAAAAAAAAAATTCTAAAAAAAAAAAAACTTAAAAAAATTATTAAAAACAAAGAAAATGTATGCATTACACTCATAATCATCAAATCAATATCAGTGGATTTTATCCTCTATCCTGGGAAAAAACAAACAAACAAAAATAAAGTAAATAAACAAGCAAAAAACAAAAACAAACAAAAACAAAAATAAAAACAAACAAACACTATTGGACACACAAGAACTCAGCAGATTCAGTGAAAACACAGACAAAAACGAGCTGAGTCTCAAATTTGAAGCTAATTTCACTTTTATTACTCTATACTTTTATTCTAATGCTAATTGTTTACACTACACTTCACTTATTTCACTGTATTATTTTCACTTTTCAATCTTAGACTGTGTACTTTACTCTCTATTCACTATAGTTTAAAACTATTCTAATCTATTTACAAATATGTTTGCATATTTGCTTCTATTGAGCCATATTCTTAAACATACATTTTAATCTAACAAATCTCTCTGTGGTTTTACACTCTCATTATCAGTGGCTTATTATCAGTGGGATTTTGTTCCATGTCTATTCTCATTCTCAGGAATAAAACTGTGAACACAGTAAGGCAAATGGTCAACATTTACACTTCTATAGTGGCCAGTGATTTATTACTTTTTATTATCTCAAGATATTATTGTCAGGCAGTTTGGGATGAATGTACATCATTAATCAAATTAGTATTATCCTTACAAGAGCTAATCTATTTTAGCAGGTTTGGGGTTGGGGTCAGTAATTCTACAATGGTGTTTGTGCTGGAAACTTCTCAATATCTAAATATCTACTATTGTGTTTTTGTGCTATACCCAAATACATCAAAATGCTTTTAAATCTCTGTTGGTTCTAATCTATCTCATTGATCTAGGCATTAATCTAGGCTACACTCATATGGACTTTTTGTATTGTCAACATTCACAGATGTTTGAACACAAGTGAATTTGGCAAGTATCTAATAAAACTGTACATAAACTGTAATTAACTTTATCTACTTTTGAAGTAAATGCTTGTGAAATGGTCCCTTTACCATTTGATATTAGCACTGGCTACAAATAATCTCTATTTTTGAAAGCATCTATGGTTGATGCATTTATCTATCTCTATTTTTACACTATTGTGACTCCAAAGTTTGGCTGCAGTTTGAGCAAAGGCATATTCCTAATTTGTGACTTCTGTCACTTTCAATGGCTGTAACATAACTCTGATTCTAATATTATAGCTGATCTATCAAAAGGATAACATTGTAGGGTACTATTTTAACTCTTATGTGGAAATGTGTTTATGAAAAACAAAGGAAGTCAAATTCTACTCTTTCTACTACTACTAAAAACGCTACAATACTAATACTTTATCATTTTAAAACATTTTAACTGTTGCTCAGTCTCCCAGACTAAAAAAGTCAAATTTTTTGTCTGTCAGATGTCTGAATACTTAACATGTATATTGCATTTGGTCACAGGTTCTGGTTGTAGCAATAGCATCGGCAATAGACGTTTTCATTGGCTGGTTCTTGTTCTGCAAATGTCTGTGTCCAATAGATCATCAGATGTCCAGAAGCTAGGGACAAACAAAAACAAAAGAAAGAATCATGAGTATCTCTCTCATTTAGCACTCATCAATGTATGATTTTAGAAATATAAACATCACTCCCCAGTTTTCTCTCTCAGGTCCTCAGATCCTCAGGGTCCCCTGAGGGTGAGTCTCAGTCGTCATCAGGTCAGGTCATAGAGAGATGTCATCTTGGACATCAGTAGGGTCCAAGCCATGGTTTTGGTCTCTCCAGTTGGACATCGGATCTCCAGATACAGTCTTTTCAGTTGAAGCACATCAGGTCATTTGCGATGCACTTCTGGTCAATGGTGCAGTGTCTCAGTTCCTGTACACAGCTTGTTATGCAGTAGTTACTCTCTATGGTTAAATCACTTTGATTCTACTTTAACACAATTTCTATTCATGCTGTTGCTTCTGTCCCTCAGACAAAAGCAAGCGCAGTTTACTTCTCTAATTTGTGTTTTTATCAGATCTAATTCTCATCAATGTAATTACTTCACACAGTACAAAATCAACAAATCAAAAGTGTCATGACAGAGGTCAATTATGTCCATGACAATATAGAATTCAAATGAACATTTCTGGTCTCAAAAAATACTGATTCAACTAAAGATTCAAGTGATAGACAATTAAAAATATGTGTTTACATTGGAGTAAACTTTTAAAATGCTTTTTTCTCATGTTCTGCTTTTTCATGTATCTATATGTAAATGTGAATGTGTGAGTGTATGTGTGTGTATGTGTGTGTGTGTGTGTATGTGAATTTTGGGGTTGTTTCTCCAGACTCCTCGAACCACCTGTAGGTCTCAAAGGTCACACTGGCTCGATGTAAACAAGCAAAGTGGGCACACTTCCAGATTGCAAAACAACTCACCCACCACTGCCTACAGAAAACCTCACTTTGTGACCCCGGTCTCACTGCCACCTACGACCATCGGTCTGTAGTGGGGGAGGGGCACACGGAGGTAGCTATGTCGCCTTTACGATCTGCGGCTGGTTGGATGGTGTCTGCTCTGGGCCACTGTTCTGATCCCTCAGTGTCCAGCAGTGACCCTGTACAGTGAGGCAGAGTCTGAAAAACAATCCTTGAGACGGCCAATTTAAAAAACAATAGATATCAGTATGCGAATGAGATTGTTTTTCTCCCTAAAGTCAAAACAATTTTGGAGCGCTCTGGGTTTTCCCAAGCGCTATGTAAATAAAAGATTACTTATTATCTTACTAATGATGACATTTTAAAACCAGAAACTCTTAATATAAAAAAACAAGACTCAAATCTAAAAAAAACTTTAAACTTTAAACTATGTATTATATACTTTTGTACTGTGTGATTAATTATCCATGAACATTTATCTCATCATTTATTTTACTAATTTAAAATAATTGCAGCATTTTTCAAATGAAGTCAGTATGAATTGAAGCACATTTTAGACCAGGCTCCTGTGCTGCGTGCATCTGCAGCAGGAGGAAGGTCAGGTGCATAGTCAAAACAAAAACGTCACCGCTTGCAAGGTGAATTGGGTAGTTTAACTTAATAATACTTTTACAGCCTAATTCCTAATTCCCTCTTTCTTTTTAGACAAAGTCTACAATCATTAATCACTTTTAACTCAGATTCTAATTTAAATGTTTGAAAAACGGCTTTTGTAACTAAAATAAAAACATAAAAAAATTCTCACAAACAGCTATGAAATATATCAGAGATACAATAATGGACTCACAAAATAAGCAGCAGATTTAAAAGAATGGAATCTAGAAATATGTTAGGTCTAAAAAGAATTGCACAGCTTTAGCACTAATATTTGGGTTTCAAAAAACATATAATATTCAAAACTTATATTTACTAATGGTGTTTAAAAACGTTTAACTGTGTCATAACACAATGTTCAAATGGCAAATTTCGCAAATTTAACGGAATAACAACTATGAAAAGCCTAAATCCTAAAACAGTAGCTTTGATTCAGAGCCAGAGCAGCGAAGGTGGGGGCCGTTTCCCTGACAAGGGCAGCAGATAGAGATGTGCACACACACAGGCAAAAAGATACAGAAGAATAACTTTCAAGATTACTTTGTTAAGCGAATATAACTTATGTTGTTCTTTATACTTTTGTCATCCAAGTCTAGAAATGGCCACTTTCCACACTAGTAACAAAAGGCACTCTTTAGTGTTTAACGTTTCCCTTTTTATAATTACTTTTAATTTTACACCATGGTTTCTCTCAAAGGGACTTTAACCCTGAAGCTTCTTCTCAAAGGGACTTTAACCCCGAGGCTTTTCTCAAAGGGACTTTAACCCCGAGACTTTCTCAAAGGGACTTTAACCCCGAGGCTCAAAGGGACTTTAACCCCGAGACTTTCTCAAAGGGACTTTAACCCCGAGGCTCAAAGGGACTTTAACCCCGAGACTTTCTCAAAGGGACTTTAACCCCGAGGCTCAAAGGGACTTTAACCCCGAGACTTCTTCAAAATACAATTTAGAGAGTTTGACAGACCCCAAAAACAGACCAAAATTTAGCTAATATCCAATTATGCAGACTTTACATTTAAAAAGGTGTCTGCTTACCTTATTCTTGTCAAACAGGTGCGCACGGACTGTCCGAGAGGTCTGCCAACTCTTTTCCGCGTCGGAATCTTCAATTTAAAAAACAAAAGTGACAGAAGCGACAAGAAGCATCCAGGAACAGCTCTTCCAGCCTGCTGGAATCCCCGCTCCCAGACACAGCATGCCGATCTCTCACGCCGAGGAAAAGAAACAGAGCAAACTCCCCCAAAACAATCCAGAGAATGGCACAAACCGAGCCGCGCATTCTCCACCAAATCTGTTAGGATTTAGCAGACAGAGACGGATCGTGGTGTGCCAAACTCTGGAAGTTTATTTAAGTTTCTCTCAAGTTCCACTGGTTTCCTCTGTTTCTTCCTCTCAGACAGAATAAAGGCAGTACACAGTTTATATAGTCATTGTCACGTCACACATCGAAAGACATACGTGTCACAAAGAGACAGTCACATCATAGTCATAACATGGAGTCCTTGTAGAGTCCTTGTACAGTCCTGCACGTAGGCCATATTGCTATCTAATACTAACAGTAGTAAGAGTGATTTTTACCTGAAACTTTATTGAATTACATGTGTTTTTCTCTACATCTAAAATTGGATTCCATGCGGCCCGAACATAGACTGAATGGACAAACGATTCAAAAGAGGAGTCCTTCTGACACGGTGAGTGATCATTCAATCCTGGCAGATCTATCTATCGACCCTGTTTCTCATATTTGAAATAATGGTCAAATTCACCGGACAATTTCCAGTTTTCTACAGTTTTATCCTCGCGACAAGACAACACATCTGTCTCACTCTACACTCTGTGGTCAACTTATAACCTACTCTAAACTCGAACCACTCATGCTCTTACTTTGACAGTCCCTCCGGATGCAGTACGCGTCCATGTGTTGTCTTTGTGCGCTTTGTTTTCGGGGGGTTTCTTTGAGGCGCAGTTTGGAAGTCCGTGCAGCGGTGGGAGCGGCTCCGGGGGCGTGGTTTGAGGTCTGGGGGCGTGGCTTCATGCTCAATCGCTCATTCAAGTGGTCTGGGCTCTGGAGCAGGGATCTGGGCTCCTGACTGTGGTTTGTGGGAAAGCAACAACCAAACAGGGATTTGATTGATTAATTTAGGTTTGGCACAAAACACAGTGTACCGTATTGGGGGAGTTTTTTCTCCATAAGACTGTTATTTACCAGGTATTTTAATTGTATACATTAGAACTTTACATAATCCATAATTATTTCTATTCTCATTGTATTTAACAGGAAGTCACAAACTAGGACTATTGACAAACTTTGGTATATGCTGAGTAATAAAAAGGTTTAAAAATAGATCTTGATACCATTTTAATATACAAATACACACAAAAGACAAGTGAGATGCTGTGAGATGATGACTATATGGAGTTAAAAGGACTTAATGAAGCCATATTTGTTGCTGTCGCCAACAATAAAACCAACAATAATATTTTAAATGTATAAAAACGTACCCAAAATAATTGTAACATATAGATGTTTATTCAAAGTCAATACGCCAGGTGCCATATGAACCAACTGGGACTGTGATGAGCACAGGAGCACAGGGACTGGCCTCCTGCTGGGACTGTGATGAGCACAGGGACTGGCCTCCATGGGACTGTGAGGAGCACAAGAACTGGCCTCCTGCTGGGACTGTGAGGAGCACAGGGACTGGCCTCCTGCTGGGACTGTGAGGAGCACAGGGACTGGCCTCCATGGGACTGTGAGGAGCACAAGAACTGGCCTCCTGCTGGGACTGTGAGGAGCACAGGTACACTCAAAGACGCTTCACATGGGAAAAAAATTATATTTAAAATTTAAATTGAAAAAAGACAAGACAACAACAAAAAAAAGAAAAAAATGTCAACAACAAGTCTAAACACTAATCTTGTAATAGTTACATTTGTCTTGATGAATTTAAATTAGATTTGTTTTGTTGTACTGTGTGAATCTGGGAGCGCACACGCAGCGTCAGCAGGTTTTTACAACCTTCATTTTATCGCCGTATTCTTCCTCTCCCTGTGCATTAGCATCGCTCCTCATCATCATGCATCCATTCTTGCCTTTCGTCCCTGGTTCCTCCCTCCTGCGGTCTCTGGTGTCCCATTGGGCCATCTGTCAAAGTGCAGCCTGAGCACCCAGCTGTGGTCCCAGTGTGTGTGTGTGGTGTGTGTGTATGTGTGTGTGTGCATGTGCGTGTGCGTGGTTCACTCAATGAACTGGTAAAAGCCATTAACTGTCATTCTGTCCAGTGTATACTCAGAGATTAAACTGCTATTAAGCCTCTCCCCACACAATAATGGGATTGGAATAGTGTAGTTTTGTATAATTTCATATTTGAGGAAGAGATTATGACCTGGACAGTTTAACGACTGGTCACTTGCCATAATCAACAAGCCAGACAAGATGATAGTAATTGTACTAAATTATGAGTTTAGTGTGTCTGCAGTGGGCAGTTTATGGTCAAGGTAATGCCAAAGGGAAGGCATAAATATAGCTGACGAGACTCTAATGACCAAATAATATGCAATTAGAGTTTAGGGGACTTATACTGCCATTGTCTGCCTGGTCTAAAGGCATGTAAAGTGTTATTGTTTGAGACCAACTTTCCTAATGGTGGACTATTGTTGTCTGCTGTGTCTACAATCACTGTGTCTACAATACGAAATTAAATTCAAGTTATGTTCATTTTTGCCCAAAGAACCCTTTGTAATAAAAAACCAACTGTTGTATTGCCCATTGTTTGCACATGTTGTATTTTAGCAGCTGTTGTTTGTACTTTTAACTCCCACTGCACCCCTCTCGGCCTGGGAACCTCTTCAGTCCTGGATCTACAGCCTCAGTCCTGGATCTACAGCCTGAGTCCTGGATCTACAGCCTCAGTCCTGGATCTACAGCCTCAGTCCTGGATCTACAGCCTGAGTCCTGGATCTACAACCTCAGATCCGAGCCCTCTCTTAACAAGGGCCTTCCCAAGGTTCCTCACACCTTTTTGAGTTTAAGGACAGTTTAAGGACCTTTAGAGATATTTATTCACTTTTTATTGACATTTGTGGACATTGGTCATCCCAGGTCGCAATGGATAAAGTGGAAGAAAATGGTAGGATGAATGGACATTGGTAATCCTCCTCCCCGTGGACCACCTATGTGTGTTCTGTTATATGTCCTGTGTGGTTTGATTCTCTGATCTGTCGTAAAGTCCTCTCAGATGACTGTTGTTGTAATTTAGGGCTTAATTGAAACCACAGTAAAATGGCTCATTTACTCAGATAACCTCCAGGCTAGCACAAAATATGTATTTATACAACAAATACAACACATTTGTAAATCAACTTCATTCAAGAGAGAGGAGCTTTTTAACATAGGCATAACTGCACAAAAAGTCTTGATGTCACAAATACTTTTACTTTTACTATGAATTTAGGGAGAGTGACTGTGTGCCATGCTGTTGGACATTGCTATGACCCCAAACAGAACCACAGCAGAACTCATTGTCCACAAACCAGCTTCACACACAACAGTATATACAACAACACAGACTGTAAATATTAACGGACGTAGTCAAGACTATCTCCCCCGCTGAAACTACAGTAATGTGCCATTTGCCTTCTTTGGGCTTTTTCAATATGGGCGCAGGACAGGAAAACATGAAAAAAAACATTAATTTAACAAGTGCATTCAAAAGTCCACAGCAGCTAACCTAGACTGGTCCAAAAAACAACACTCCCTTCAGCATTGACACATTCTGTAAAGCCGTTTTTGAGAGGAAAGAAGGCGCCATACAAAAGCATTGGGTAATTCTAGTTCCGGGTACACCCCCACCAGTTAGGAGTGAGATTCCTAGTATGTCAACGCACGTGCTCATGGATCTACATACAGGAACTCCGCAGACAAAGACAGTCCTATCCTGCTCATTATGTGTGGGTGAATATTCATGTCTCCAACGGCTGCATGCTCTGGATGTGATTCACTACCTCTCCCACCCGACCTCTCAGCCATCAGTAATAGGGCAAGGCAAGGCAAGTTTATTTATATAGCACAATTCATACACAAGGCAATTCAAAGTGCTGAACAAAACAAGAAAGCATTAAAATCATAAATTATCACAGAACATTAAAAAGAAAGATAAAAATATAAAATCCCTCAGTTGTATGCACAGCTAAACAGCACCGTTTTTAACCTGGTTTTAAACATTGTCAGAGAGGAGGCCTGTCTCACATCTTCAGGAAGATTGTTCCAGATTTTAGCAGCATGAATCTGAAAAGCAGCCTCCCCATGTTTAGTTCTGACTCTGGGCACTAACAGGAGTCCAGTCCCTGTGCTCCTCAGAGTCCGGGCTGGTTCATATGGGACTAACATGTCACTAATATATTTTGGTGCGAGGCCATGGAGAGACTTGTACACAAGCAGAGCTGTTTTAAAGTCTATTCTCTGAGCCACAGGAAGCCAGTGCAGAGACCTGAGAACTGGACTAATATGGTCGTACTTCCTGGTTCTAGTCAGGACTCGAGCTGCTGCATTTTGGTGACCAACGGCGTAGGTTTGGTTTCATCTATGGTGGGGACAATTTTAGATTCTCCAAAACATCCAATCTCAAGCCGGGAATCGAACCAGAGCCACATAAGTGGGAGAGCCAAATCCTAATCACTAAATCATCAGTAAGTTTTAAATCAAATGTGTCAACGTGAAGTATCCCCAGTCAGATAATGACTCACACAGCTCTTTAAGTACGCTAACAAAAACATGAAGGCAGCAGGTTGTGGCCTAGCTTGGCCTTAGCTATCCGTAAACTCCGGTCAATTATGACATGACATTAGTATGATGGTATGGTAAGACCAGGCTCGATGCATACTTTAATTCAAATTAAAGTACTGTATGCCTTGGATATTTGAGTTTAGAAGAAAAGGAATGAGGCAATTGTTTTCATGAGAGAATCAGCTGTAAAATGAGGTACATCGTGCCATGGTAGTCAAATTCATCAAACTTATATCAATGCTATGAACAAGAATCACCACCACTAAATATGTTTCCAGGTCTATGAAATTACTCTTTGTTATGCGTTCTATGATCTAAATGTCTACATGTGTTTCCTCCATGTCTATCTTGGCAAATCAGTATTTATTGATAAAAATAAACTAATAAATAACAATTTTAAACAAAATGACCACCATCTCTGGCACAGCGCAGTGTGTCCCTCTCATATCTCTGGCTTTTTTAAATCTCTGTGACCGAGTAATGACTTTCCCACCGAACGTCTCGGCTTGTGTGTGTGACATCACTGTTTCTCACGCCCTTTGTGTAGCCCTTCCTCCTCTACAATCCCAGTCACATCCGAGTTTTCCCCAAAGGTCAAAAAGAGGATTTCCCTATTTACACAAAAATATCCTTAATATTATTTGAATGGGTCATGGTGGGATGGAATTAGTATGGGGTACCTAACTTTCTCATCAATGATAGATTTTGTTTGTACCAACAGAAAGAAAAATGTGAAATCAGTCCATAACATGCTGTTTTTGTCTGGGCCATTAACTTGAGTAGGGTTTTCAGAGTTTTTCCTTCCCGATGCAGGAGGGTCTAAGGACAACGATCCAGAACACTCGACATTCAACAACATTTATGGGCATTGGTCATCTGCCTCTGAAGAAGATGGGATCGCGTCTTTAATTCAGACAGAAGATATGTTTTATTGTCGTTGGTAGAGACAGCACGAACAAATATTTTACAGAATGCAAGTGATAATATACAGCATGGAGGAATGAACACCATCCAATCAGCATTCGCCGCAGTGCCAGTAGCTTGGCCTTCAGATAACCAAAAGATGCAGTGGGTTAAAACCAAAGGCTCTATGTGTTTTTTTATCATTGCATTTCTTGTGTTTGAACTGTCACTCCGTCCTCCGTCACTGTCTCCCAGAGGCTCATATGCTGCTACATACAGTGCTTTATACTTGCTTCTTATCACGCAAATTGTAGACATTTTATACTGCTTTAAGTATTTATAATTTTTTTCACTTGTTTCTTTGATGCTAGAATTGGAGATTTTATTTTACTGTTCACTTATCTTTTGCTGTGTGCTCCTCATCCCTACTGTTCTGTAACTGGTGATGCAACACTGAAATTTCCCCACTGTGGGACAAATGAAGGATCTTGTTATCTTACAATGGAACATTTTTTATAGTTTGCATACCGCGAGTCCCCTTTTAGAGATGATTGGCTTGGAGTGAAGGTGATACTCTGTTTTTCACTTTTATGTCTTGAAAAAATTTGGTCAAACATTTTTTATGGCTTGAACGTCATACCCCTAACTTAAAAGGTCCGGTACATTTCATTTTTACTACCTGGCTCTGTTCTACAATGTAACGTTGGGAGAGTAGGTAAACCCATTAATTTAGTCCAATCGTTAAGCCAATTTTCTCTCTTCACATTTTGAAAAGTAAGGTGAGTAACGGCCACATTATCCTTCACACAGCACAGAAAGAGAGTGTCTGATCAGCACTAGATTCATTTGCTAATGCATATACACCGTTGTCTGGCACTTTGCTGAATGAGGCGCATATTCAGCTGCCACACCCAGTCTCAACCTACTCTGCTATTTTCTGTTCTGTGTTTTGACCCATTGAACTGGAGAATTTGCCGTCAGAATGTGTTGCTTGCATTGATGAAGCAAAAAGAGTGGTGAGGATTCAGACTCAGATTAAAATTCAGACTACTTTATTTATCCCACCAGGGGCAATTTGTTTGATCAGCACAGGGCATAAAAACATACGAAACACATACGACACCTAACAGTTGTTGTTTTGGGCTTTACAGTTTTGTATTTGTCTTGCTTTTTTCTACCTGAGATGTTGCTGCAGAACAGTGTTTTATGGTTTTACATTGGTCCAGACCAGAACAGAGAATTCATGGTCCAAACCAAGCAGATCAGGCAAAAATCCACTGGAGGAATGCTAACTTTTTGACAAATGCTAATGAAGCATTTAGCATTTTATTTTGGACTAGAGCAGAGAAAATTGTCCGAACCAAGCGGCTACTCCACCTTTTGACCCTTCCTACTCCAACCAGCAGCTACTCCATCTCTGCTGCTGTGACCCGTCCTGCTCCACCCAGAGGCTACTCCACCTGTGCTGCTGTGACCCATCCTGCTCCACCCAGAGGCTACTCCACCTGTGCTGCTGTGACACGTCCTGCTCCACCCAGAGGCTACTCCACCTCTGCTGCTGAGGTCCCAGGGGGATCAATAAAGTATCTCTCTATCTATCTACAAAACACATACAAACACAGGAAATGTCAGGCAGTAAGTAACCTAAGCGATATGATATGAAGTGGAGCCCATATATGAATATTATACAACAATAATAGCTCAAACATTAAAGTCCATATCACGAACAAGCTACAGAGAGTTCAGTCTAATAGTGGTTTGGACAAAAGATGGGGCGACAGTAGCTCAGTTGGTAGAGCATTGGCCTTCAGGCCAGAAGGTTGTGGGTTCAATTCCCACCTCTGCACCTTCTCCATCGACTCCCACTGATGACTGCTGTCGTTGTGTCCTTGGGCAAGACACTTAACCCCACTTTACCCAAAGCCCCCACTGAAAGATCAAGGCTATGCTCACACTCAGAGAGCAGCCATCCTCCTGTGGACTCACCACCTGCAGAGGGTCAGTGAGGGGCTGGTGCTATGAGACTTGGGTGGCATCTCTGACTGCCACCCCCCCGACCCAGAAATGGATTAAAGGGTAGAAAATGGATGGATGGATGGACAAAAGATTTGAAGTGATGATTGGTTTTACAATATGGTGCAACATAACGTGTCCAACCTTATTGGTCATCGGCTCCACATATGGACCAATATACAGTATAGGTCTTTTCTGTACTATTTATTGTGTTTGAACTGTTTAATTCTCTGATCTGTGTTGGTCAATTTAACGGTTGTGTAAAGTCCAACAAGAGTTTGGGGCTGTACAAGAATAAATTGAATTGAATTGATGAATCAAAAACAAGTGGCACACCTACAGCACTGAGCAAAACAATTCAGAAAATAGCTGCAATAGCTGTGTGTCGAACTCGCCGACCTCAGCGCGCCCACAGGAGCCAACGCAGATGACTGAGACTGCAGCTGTTTGTCTGACATTAATAAGGCAAAGATTACATTCCATTGTTTCTTTGTAGTTTGGTCTGTTATTGATAGCAGCCGCATTGATTACTGTCATTACTATGCTGAAGTCATAGATTTTATACATAATTCTTGCTTCTTTGTTATTCTAAAGTTGGAGATTTTAGATTTATATAGCACAATTCATTCACAAGGCAACTCAAAGTGCTGAAAATAAACAAGATAGAAAGGCATTAAAATCATAAATAATCACTGTACATTAAAAAGAAAGATAAAAAAATATAAAATCCCTCAGTTGTAGAACAGAACAAAACAGAACTGCTTTATTCACGCTAAAGCTTTAAAGCTTTAGCTTTATTTGCTAGAGTTAGACATTTTATTTTATTTTGCCCCTTTATTATGCTAAATTTGGAGATTTTGGACTTGCTTCCTTATTACCGTGGAACCTAACCAACATATTTTGTAGCGTGGACCCCTGTTATTCTGTATTACTGCTAACACATAATTATCTGAAGCACTGTACGTCTTTGTTTTGTCCACATTGTACCTACATTATCTTCAGCATGAGTCATTTATATCTCAAATGATGACATTAAGCTACAGCAAGAGATCATAAACTTGCTTCTTTATCATTTTTTTTAGTATAGAACTAAATCGCTCGGGAGATACCAGTAACTCATCATCCCCATGCAAGAAGCTCCCCAAAGGATTTAGAAATTATATAGATACCCAGAATATTACAAAAAGTACGTTTCATTTGCTGAAAACTATTGTAAATGCAAGCTAGCATAAAAAAGGAATGATAAATAATTGTATTGTATTGTATGTGCTTTATTTGAACAGGTACCGTGTACAATTACTATTTATAGTAAAAATACCCTAAGGCAAGCGCTCACCATTAATACTCTTAAAACTGTTTAACCTGAAACCAAATTGGCCCAAAAATCGCAGTATACCTTTAACCTTTAAAGGAGTAGTTCTTTGCCATTTTAGACCCAAGAAAGTTGCTCTCCAGGTGACAGAGGTTGGAGACCCCTGGTATAGAATTATTGTTCATTCCTCTTGTGTTGTGTGCTCCTCATTCCTACTGTTCTGTAACTGGTGATGCAACACTGACATTTCCCCACTTTGGGACGAATAAAGTATGCCAGTGGATCCCAACCATTTTGTCTTGAACAACGGGGAAAAAAAACCTTTACTTTAGTGGTCAATTGTAAATACATTCACTGGGAGTTGGAAACACTACCACATATGTCAAGGCTACTATGAAATGTTACAATTATTTACCAAAGCAATGAAATGGTTGCCTATAGAATGGTGTTTTCTACCAATGTTGTAGGCTGAAGGTCATATCATATTGTTGCAGGGCCTTGGGAGGTGATTGACAATGCCACAGTAGTAGTAAGAGTGATGGAGGAAGGTCAAAAGAAAGAGAGAGTAAAGTTGTGCCTGGGAGGGATGCCTGAGAATGAGTGGTATGTGTGGAAACGTGACCAGCCCACCACCAACTGTGCTCCCTCCGAGCCACAGACAAGAGCCTGGTGGGCCACAGGAGCTAAATCCAGACTCCCTGCTCCAAAATCACGAATAATAATACCCTTCGACACGTTTACCGAGGCCACAAGAAATGCAAGACTTGTGTGGAGCAGTGTCACAATTGGTAGATGCACACAAGTTTATTAAGACGTTATAGTTACTGTGTCAATGTTGGTACAAGATGTTCTTAAAATATATATATATACAGTAAATATAGATGCCATTGTGAGTGACATCTTTTGTTGATATACTTTAAAACAATGTCAATAAATAAGCCGTTGGAACAAATCATGAAAACACATTCTCTTATTGCTGTGGATGTGTTTAGGTAGATATCATGTGGTTGACATGTGGTTGTAAACACATGGTTTTCTGACTGGTAAACATTTACGTGTATGTGTATTTGCTAATATGTCCAATACACTGAGGGGGGAGGTGCTCATAAATTAATTGAACGTCTACCTAATGTACATTAACAATTGTAGTGATACTATTGTTTTTTTTTACAGGAAAAAAGAAAAGATAGGAAATATAGAATAATTTGGATGGGCACATACTGCCCCTATGTGGCAACAGGATGAAGTTCAATTCCTTATTCCATTTCTTTGTATGATGATGATGTATCATTATTATTGTGATATAGTATATTTTATGGTAAATAGTTAGGTTTTATAGAGCTACGAAGCCATAGGGTCGATCAATGGAGATAATATATGCAAAGTATTTCCTCGTCAAGCTCTAATGAATGTCAGGGAAGTGACTTATTGTTTCCGAATTATGAAAGTACAACATCCAGAGTAGGATGTACATGTTTAATTCTTCAGTTCGTTCCGCTGTGTCTTAGAACTATCGCTAGTGTTAAAGCTCCACACGTATCAGTTACATTCACGAATCTCGTATAAAGCGCGTAACTACCACGCTGTATGTAAACACAGTGAGCGCACAACACAATGGATTGAACATGTCGTATCGGAACTACATTACCCGTGTGGCTTTGCGCGATAGCTCAAAGCTTTTCCCGCAAAGTTACGTAATCAGTTGCTGATTGGTCAATCCCTCTGCCAACAAATTCAAGCTGAGAAGTGATTGGTCCGCGTATTATGGGCTGTAACCCGGATGTCCGCGGCTTATATATCGTCTACAATCGAAGGCGGGGGCTGTAGTTCAAACCGACACTCGGTGCTGAATAGCAGACCGCATCAGGCTTTCGCTTCAGTCCACAACCCGCAAAGGATTTGAATCATGGTAATGCTTCACCCTTCTATTCTACGGCTCGTCTATCCGGTATCGTAAAACACCAAAGCTCTCGGTTTGTTTACCCGTTAGGCTCCTGGAATTTGTGTTAGCCATTAGCACGGTAGCGTTAGCATGCTAAGTCGGCGGTTTTGCGTTTGGTTATGGGCTTGAATGGGGCGGTAAAAATAATCCTGGCGGTTATTTTGTAAGGAGAGTAAATACGGGCGTATTGATCACCATAAATATTGTATATTTCAGGCTGGTGGAAAAGCAGGAAAGGACTCCGGAAAGACCAAGACGAAGGCTATTTCGCGCTCTCAAAGAGCAGGTCTGCAGGTTTGTACAAGGTTTCATTCATTTCCCTGTGCTAGGCTAGTATGCTAACACTAGCAAGTGTTTTTGTTGATCTTAGTGTTATGGCTATTCTTTAACGTTTTTCTTTTCATCCCGCCTCCATCAGTTCCCAGTGGGCCGTATCCACAGACACCTCAAGTCTAGGACCACAAGTCACGGCAGAGTGGGAGCCACTGCAGCCGTATACAGCGCGGCTATTCTCGAGTACCTTACAGCCGAGGTAACTAAGCACGCTTCTGCTGTTTTGGTCATTTTTCTCGACTGTAAATCTGTTGTAGTTCGTTTTGGTTGTGTATATAATACAGAATTTCTGGTGCAGGTGCTGGAACTGGCAGGAAACGCATCAAAGGATCTCAAAGTGAAGCGTATTACTCCACGCCACTTGCAGCTGGCCATTCGAGGAGATGAAGAGCTGGATTCCCTCATCAAAGCTACCATTGCTGGAGGAGGTAAACTGTTCTTGGCCCTAGATGACTTCCTTTTGCTCTTTTACATGGGCGGTACAACTGTTTGGATTGTATCCTCATGCACCTTTTTTGTACTTCAGGTGTCATCCCCCATATTCACAAGTCTCTGATCGGAAAGAAGGGCCAGCAGAAGACCGTATAACCTGAAGTGCTCGGAAGTTGTGCCATCTCAGGACGACGTCTGCATCAATTGGTTAAATGTCTTAGTGTAGAACGCCTGTAGGGTTATTTGTATGGTTGAGCTTGCATTTACTCACCTGGGGTATTTTTTAAAAAGTGGCTTCAAAGAAGCTCATTTGTGTTTTGCCTTTGTTTGGTGCTACATTTGTGTTAACCTGCTTTTTGTGGCATTCCCATGTAAAGTGTCGTTTTAATAAAGCTCTTAAGGGCACTTGTTTCTGCCATGTTTAATTTTCTCCTAATTGAACGATTGAGCATTTTGGAAGGGTTTCCACCTCAAATTGACCATAAGCAGTGAGTAGGGCCTGATAAAACCACATCAAATGCGTTGCAAGCCTCAAATGGTGTTTTTGCATGAACTAAAGCATGTTTATGTAAACTGACCACTGGGAACCGATATTGGACTAAATAAAGATGGACTCTCCTGGCCATTGTTGTGTTTTCCCCAATTCACTCTAAATAGTTGGTCTCAAACCTGAACCAGGGAGTATGTGTATACTGTTAATCAGTTTTGAAGCAATATTTCATCTAAATTGCTATACAATCTCTCCTTTAGGGTCTTTTAAATCATTGGAAAAGTGATAGCCAAGTATAAGCAATCTTTACTGATTCCCAAATTGCCTCAATCTTGTCATACAGATTGAAAAATACTAAATTTATGGAATGTCTGTCTCAAAATATTTACATTTGACTGGATCAAAGCTAGGAAGACCCTGCATTAAAATGATTTAAAACACTCCCGAAAGTATTGCTGACATTTATAACCGTGTATGTTATACACCGCCTTGAACTAACCGCACACAAGGCATATGCCCAGGAACATTCTTAATTCAAATGAATTTAACAACTCGTGTTCCGGTTCTTCCAGCAGAGGGCAAAATAACACCAGGATTTCACCATAAACGCCCTATAGAGATTCCACCCACTTTTACTCGGATGGCAGTTAAAAGCAATCTCGTGAACGACTCTTTCGTGTCCAGTAGTTTACATTCTTAACAATGCTCCATGCTTCACCTCAATCATTCACACACAGTTTACAGCTGCAGCCGCTCCTTTCCAGAGGTCCCCCATCACAGTACTAACGAGGCCCCGCCCTGCTTAGCTTCTTAAGACCCTTTTCCACCAGAACCTGCTTGGCCCTACTCTACATGATCGTGCTTCCATTATATTTTGGGCCGACAGTAGCTCAGTTGGTAGAACACTGGCCATTGAGCCAGAGGGTTGTGGGTTCGAGCCGTACTTACACCATCGACTCCCACTGTCTGCTGTCGTTGAGTCCTTGGCAAGACACTTTACCTCTGGGAACATCAGCCACAGTGGGGCGACTGTAAAATGCCAAACTGCCGTTGTGTCCTTCGGCAAGACACTTTACCGACATTGCCTAGAATGAGTCTGGGCAGCTGTGGCTACAGTAGTAGTTCATCACCACCGTGTATGGAGTGAATGAATAATGACATGTAAACCATGTCGACCCCTAGCAACCTAGATACTAAAAAAGTACCTGGTACCAGACAAAGAGGACAGGCAGAAACACTCCCAACAGGCAGAAACACTCCCAATCAAGGTAAAGTAGAGCTGAGTGGAGTCAAGTCAAAAAAAACATTGCAAAAAGAACATAACGGCACGGTGGCCTCTCAGCAAGAAGGTCCTGGGTTCGAATCCCGGCCGGACCAGGGCCTTTCTGAGTGGAGTTTGCATGTTTGGAGTCCGGTTTCCCCTACCACTAAAAATATGTACAATAGTTCTGACATGTGCCTCCTGTTCGGCGACCTCGCCCCCATCTCTGTGTGGAGTGAGAGACAAGTGCCCAAAAAAAAACAATTGTAAACCGCTTTGTGACTCTGGTCTGTGAAAGGCGGTATATAAATAAAGCTTACTTACATAACGAATTATGTTTTTGTGTGTGTTCCTGAGGAGCTAGAAACACTGATTCTTAAAACCCAACGACCTCTTCTTTTCACAGTAAAAAAAAAAACAACAACATAAAAGCATTTAATATTTAAGATAATATAATATAAACTACTAAAACGGTATGTTAGAGGAAAAATAGGATTTAAAACCTCTCAATATTTTGCTGGTCCAGTCTCAGTGTAACAGGTTTGCCTCACTGTTATTTGACTCGTCTGCATCTAAAAAGATTTATTCACAAGCTGTCGTATCCTCTTTGACCAGCAGAGAGCGACACATTAAATCTTCCAGTATCAAAAACTAAATGAAGCTTATCTCAACAGCGAAACAAATCTTGTCAGAAATGAAACTTTCGTGGACCTAAAATCACATAGTTCTTTGATGTTTTCAGCCGACGTATTCAAGACTTTCAATTAGTCTTTGGCTATATAAAAAGACTCGTATTGGTTTACGCAACGTTTTATGATTTATTTTGTAGTCCTCCCAAAAGCGCAGTGGTAATGAGGCCTTTCCCCAGCTCCTGCCGCGCCGTCCGCCATTCAAGCATTAAGTCAATTAAAAAGAGGGCTCCGGCGGTGTGTGTTGGGGGTCCGTTCATTTGGTCTTAATTACAGCAGGAAGTAGAGAAAGGCTGGACACGGTGCTGCTCTGGAAGCCATTTGCACATGTGGCCTTGAACTGAAGACGTTTATCGGCTTAGAACTCGTAACAACACGTCGGCACACGTCGGACGAATGCTTATTGGTGCTCAGGTGATATTATTAATCATTTACAATCACAAAGCTGGTCTTGGGGGGCGACAGTAGCTCAGTTGGTAGAGCATTGGCCTTTAGGCCTGAAGGTCGTGGGTTCAATTCCCACCATGATACCTTCTCCACCGACTCCCACTGATGACTGCTGTCGTTGTGTCCTTGGGCAAGACACTTAACCCCACTTTGCCCAAAGCCCCCACTGAAAAGATCAAGGCTATGCTCACACTCAGAGAGCAGCCGTCCTCCTGTGGACTCACCACCTGCAGAGGGTCAGTGAGGGGCTGGTGCTATGAGACTTGGGTGGCATCTCTGACTGCCACCCCCCCGACCCAGAAATGGATTAAGGGGTAGAAAATGGATGGATGGAAGCTGGTCTTGGTTTGCAGAAGAAGCCTGAATGCAGAAGAAGCCAATTTGAACATAAGCTAGCTGGAGCTAACTTCCTTATATGGGTATTTGTTTTGAGGGTCTTTGATTCAAGCCGTAATAGGGACAGGTTTGTTGCTAACTGGAGTTTTCCCTACAATCTAAGGCATCTGATTGGTCTTACTCGGTTCATATCTTGATTTACAAAGACAATATCAAAATGTAAATGTAAAGATTACAGAAAGTGAATTTTCTTCAGTAATTTTATATTTAGATAAGCTTCATTCATCCACAAGCAAAATGACATGATAGCACATATATAACAAAATGATTTGTTATTACTGATTTCTTGTTAATTTTTTATGAATGAATGATATCTCCATTTTGAACAAGATGGATAATCCAGCCACAATCTTCAACATGTTTTGTTGCAGTAAATATGAAAGGATTTGCTTCAGAAGGGGTGAAACTTCATTTGTCACTAAAATTCATCTGGCTTTTCACAAAACATTTAGGTAAAGGGCAAATTGTAATGATTTCAAATATATTTCCAATTAAAATAATCTTTTTTTGTGAAAAAAAATTAGAAAGTTATGTTGCTCCCAAGTGTCTTTTATTTACAGACAAGTTAACGTTTCGGACTGAAGCCCTTCATCAGACATCTGTTTTTCACACGTTTTACACAGAGATGACCCCCTGGCCTCCAGATAATACAAACCGACCTTCAGGCCGATACAAGCAGAGCTTCATATAACATTTCCTATTGAGCATCTGTACATTAGCCACTTTTCTCCTGGATCTCCTTATCTGACTTTGGTCCTGGTCAGTTTCAATCAGTCATTATCTTCCTCTATGACTCTGTGGTGGCATCAGCCTCTTGTACCGTGTGGTCTGCTGGAACAGCAGCATCACAGAGAGGGACAGGAAGACGCTGGACAAGGTCATCAGGAAGTCCAGCTCAGTCCTGGGCTGTTCCCTGGACACAGTGCAGCAGGTGGGGGACAGGAGGGTCCTGGACAAACTAACATCTATGCTGGACAATGACTGTCGCCCCCTACAGGACACTCTGTGTGCTCTGGAGAGCAGCTTCAGAGACAGGTTTATTCACCCTCGCTGTGTGAAGGAGAGGTTCCGCAGGTCTTTCCTTCTTGCTGCTGTCAGACTGTACAACAAACAATGAACACTGCCAACCTGATCTCACATGTCATGCGTCGGTGCGTCTTAATCTTAAAAGTGTAAAGAAGCCAGTACTGCTCAATTACCTCTGACGAAGGCGGAAGTCTACTGCCAAATCATAATAATACATCAAACTTATATGGCTCTTTTTTGGACCCTCAAAGACACTTTACAAAACATATGAAATTAGCCTGGTCGTGCCACACCATCGTAAAAGTGACATTTCGTACTATGCATGGAAATGAAACTCAATGATAAGGCTAGGCTAATATAAAACATAAATAGAAGAACAAACTTAAGGAAAGCTAAGAGGAAACAGGTGGGTTTTGAGAAGTGATTTAAAGTTCTGTAGTGAGTCAGGTAATGAAGCAGTACTAGCTTCTTTACGGGTTTTGTCTTCTTAAAACTGACCTACTAAGCCTTAACCGTGCAGCGTGATGAGACCATTTGGGAGGGGGGGAGGTGAGTTCAGAAGGTTCTTGTCCTATAGTTCTCGGTGTAGGCGGCAGGTGGCCCAGGCCTGGCTCAAAAGGCCTCGGACATCACACATCGCTAACTTATCCGTGCCAAACACAAAGCGCACTCGCTGCTGTAATCTCTGCCAGTGATGAGACTTTGATTCAGACCCTCTCACAACATTTGTCCACTGTTTTTTCTCCCCTCTCCCTCCCCTTTACCTCCCTCCTTCTCCTCTTTCCTGTGCTGGTCCATTGTCTGAGCGTGTACAGACGGGGTGGGCTGGCAGGGGTCATGGTTCGCCGGCCCGCCTAGATCCATCAAGAGGAACAAAGCAGGGGGAGAAGGAGCAGTGCCAAGTCGAAAAACCCCAAAAAATTTCCAAAAATCAAAGAGTGTGCGCAGGTTTGGGATCCGCTCCAAAGGGCTGGAGGTCTGAGGCAAAGCGGGGAGGGGGGAGACAGAGGGGGAACGATAATTAAATCCACCACTGGCTGCCGATGACATATGGAACAAACTTGGACTTGGCTTCAACAGATGTTAACTTTGTGTAGGACAATGCATCGCGAGAAAACAGACATTTACAAAGCAACATCTTGGTTCAAAAGTGACATCACGGCATCAAAGAGTAACTCCTCTTTCACTTTAGTTTGTCAGAAGTCGAGATGTCTTTGACCCTTTCTGTCTTTAAAGGGTTAGAGCTGGGGCACCTAACTTTGAACCCACAACAAATTAACAATGCAGTAAAATTGAGGTAATGTTTTTGCTTGTTGTTGTCTGATTTGTTATTTAAAGAAGAACTATTATGTATCACATTTTGGCCATTTAAATTTGTAATGAGATCATTTCCTATGTCATCTCATGTTATGGAATGTGAAATAATATCTCAAGTTGAAAATATTTGTTCTACTCCACACACATGTATGAAGGTATGAAGGGTAAAAATGATTTCCACTTGTAACTCCCTATGCTGCCACCAGAGGGAGAACTAGATTTTTTTGAAATTTGAAAATTACTGGCTGCAAACGCACGTAGGTTTGTAGAGCCGTAATTTCGCCTGAGAAGCACTCGAAACTAATTTATGGGAAATACTTTTGTTTTAAAAGGCAGAAAACTGGATATGATGACATTGTGGTACATTGACATCATGCTATTACAAGACTGAGACAGGAGGTTTTAGACCAAAGGGGCGGAGCTACAGTACTTCTCTGTTGGGACAATGCATTTATGAAACAAAAGTTAGGTACTCCATTACTAATGTCTGGAATAAATGTAATAAAATGGTGTGTGTGTGTGTGTGTGCAAATGCAGACAAAAACCAAAACGGGTGGCCACACATTGTCCATCAAACAGAACACTTTGTATCGATTGCTTTGGCCTTGAAACTGATTGGCTGTGTGATAGTGGTCTCCCCAATATATGCAGTCTATGCCCCAGCTTCAATTTTATTTATTTTAAAAGTTTCATCCTCGCTAATAAATTAACATCGCCAAATATTAGTCATGTTCCAACGGTTTGTGAACCAAAAAAACCTACCACACTGATCTGAGCTCCTTCTGTATCGCCGTACATAGAATGAATCAAAACGGATCACTGGCCACTTCCCCATCCCCTCCCTTTGAAGTCTGCCTGCTTTTGTTCTTCCATAACTTGATCTGATTTTTGAAAAGCCAATTTGTATGCATCCTGACCGAAGGGGGTGTGTGCCAAGGGGCCGACTTTAGCCACCCACAACTGAAGGGTGGAGCAGACAGGCAGGTCAACACGGCAGACGGCAGGAGGGACCGGAGACAGCAGCTCGGAACAAAAGCATATGATCTGTGTCTTTTGGGATATGGACACTGGGCAAATTTGCAGACAATGGGCGGGTGGCCAGGGGGTTCAAATCCTTCTGCAAACATGGGCTGTGGGGTCTTTGGTGGTCCGAGGCGGGCTCCACTGAAGTATAAGGCCATAAAGAGACACACAATCATCAGAGAATAGAGGAGATTAGAGGTAAAACGGTTGATCGAGGTATGGGAATGTAAATGACAAATTCGCTGCCTTAATTTTATCTGATGATCATGAAGGGGTTTCCATGTCCTCGTTCTACAGTCTGAGTCCAGCCTCGCGTGGCCTTGTGCTCGTTCCACAGCTTGAGTCCTGGATCTATCCCCCGTCCGTCTGCGGGAGCGGATATCTCTCTCAGTGTGGGCCTCTCTCAGGTTTCTCACGTTTTCCCACTGTTTTTTTCTATATGGGTTCTTCCTTGCCAATGCAGGAGGGTCAAAGGACATTTATGGACTAGAATATTAACATTGATGGACATTGGTCTCTGCCTCTTATGGACCAATGGCTTGATGTGTTATTATTATCATTGCCTTGTGAACTGTTTGATTCTCTGATCTGTGTTGGCGATTGAAACGGTTTTCAAGTCTCCAACATAACCACTGTTTTGATTTGGGGCTATACAACAATAAATTCAATAGAAATGTATTTGAATGTGGCGCTGACACTGCACTGCACCACAAACTCCCGTCTATTTTCTTCCGCTTTCTGTAGCCGAGTGGCGGGAGCAGCAGTCAAAGCAGAGATGTTCAGACTTCTCTCTCCGCACACACGGCCTCCAGCTCATCTCCCCAGAGGGGCGTCCAGGAGGCATCCGCAACAGATGCCCGAGACAACTCAACAGGCTCCTCCCGACGGAAAAAAGCAGCGGCTCTACTCCGGGCTCCTCCTGTGTTTGACATTCTGCGGAGGAAACTTATGTGGGCCGCTTGTATTTGCAAACTGGTCCTTTCAGTCTTTTTAGCCGAAGTTCATGATCAGAGGTGAGGCTGGGAATGTTGAGAGGTGACATTAAAAAAGGAACCCAAAATTCACAACTGAAAGCAGAGAGTCATTCAATGAATCCAGAGATCAATTCAAATCCAATTGAATGTATTCTAGTATAGCCCTAAATCACAACAGCAAATTTCTCGTAGGACCTTACAAAACCATTGAATTCGCCAAGAAGCCTCCAGAGAGAATCCTTCCGAACACAGTTCCAGGTATCAAAGGGGAAATACAGTGGTTAGTGCTGGTGCGTCACAGAGAGAAAGGTCCTGGGTCTGACTCCACCTCCATACCGGTCGTTCTGAGTGGAATTTGCAAGTTCTCCCCATTTGTGTAGGTTTCCTCCAGGTGCTACGGTTTCCCCTACCACTATAAAACTTAGATATGATTGGATCAGAGTTGGATGTTGATGATCGGGAGCGTGTTCTGTCATCTCTGTGTGTAAAGTGAATGGAAAAATATCAGCATTTCAAAACGCAGTAAAGTACTTTGTGTACGCCCCCCTTCAACCCTTCTACCGCCTACACCCGTATCCCTGCCTGTATGTTTACCTGTGCCACTATTTCCACCTGTATGTAAATCTGTATCCCTACCGGTATGTTTACATGTATGTCTACCTGAATATCTACAGTATGTACAGTATGTCTACGTGTCATTGATGTTGTTTTGTATGTCTTTTTTTTTCTCTGCAAAAAAACAAAAGTACTTTGTGTGACCTTGGTCTGTGGAATGCGCACTAAAAATAAATAAGACTTACTTACAGTCTCACTATGGAGGACCATCTTCTGAGCCAATTTATATTGTTATTGATCCTTAGACCAATAAAGACTTTTATATGTTTTAAACATTTAGTCATGAAGATAATGGTCCTAAATTCACTTTGCGCTTTACGTGACCTTGGTCTGTCAAATGCGCTATATAAATAAAGATGACTTACTTACTCACACAGATACAGTGTGACATCAATATTGTGCTCCAGGCCATAATGCTGCGGTGGGCTGTTGCCACCCTGGAAGCATAAGTTGCCAGGGAAAATGATAAGTTCCACATAATGGTTCCCAGACTGGACCAGAGCCAAGAAGCTCTCAAATTAACAAAACATTTCATTCCACCATTTTTACTTTAGACAAAAATATAGTCCTCCTTATATCTTCTACTCAGGGTGGAATAAAACAGCTGTAAAGAGTTCAATAAGAGAATAATGTCTTTGTGAATGAAAGCAGATTCTCAGAGTGGCTTCAGTTTGGGCTCAGGTACTTCTTTCTTGCACTGCTTTTTGACTCTGGTCCAGCAGGCTCAGTGGGGGGTGTGTGTGTGAGGGGGGGGGGGGGGGGGGGGGGGGTACTTGGCCTCGTGCCAAGGTGACAATCAATGTCTCTGTGTCTGGACGGCGGGAGCTTATTTGGACGTCTACCCCCTCTTTATTGGAGGAAATGCTCTTTGGGCGCTCAAACAGGATGTCCCGCTGACTGGCCTGGTCTCTGAACCATTCCACTGCCCCCCCCCCCCCCCCCCCCCCCTATCTCTATTCTTCCACCGGCCCCCTCCACTACACCCATTATCCCTCAAGAAAATGCTCAAATTAATCCAGACTTGCAAGCAGCCACTTTTTCTTTCTTGTCTCCATTTAGTTTGGAGACTTGAGGAATGTGCTTGTACATAAGAGGCTGAGGAATACTACACCACAGACGACTATTGTGTCCTTACGTCTCCAAATTATGTTAGGAAGAATTTTGGATCCTTCTCTCATAACGACTGACAGTTTAAAACAGACAACTCTTTGCTCATTTTTTAGTACATATGAGACTACATATAACAGATCTGTTTGAGTTTAATATGTGCACTTTATTACTACTGTTAGTAACTTTTAGAAGGATGTATTTATTTATGTATGAATGATGTTTTCTAGAATTTCTCCCACGGGGATAAATGAAATATCTATAATCTGGGTTGTGGGGTAGAATCCAAGCTGCAGCACCAGTCCCTCTGATCCTCCTGCAGGTGGTGGGTCCATATAGAGGATGGCTGCTCCCTCAGCAATGACAGTCTTGGGCTTTCAGCTGGGGCTTCAGGCAAAGTGGGGTTAAATGTCTTGTCCAGAGACCCAGCAACAGCAGACTTCAGTGAGCATAGGTTGTGGAGGGGTCAAACCCACAGGTATTCGATTCAAAGCCCAACTCCGCTACTGTCGCCTCAGAAAGGTCTCCAAAATCTTATTCTCGGGATCCAGTTTTTCCATATTATTCCCAGTTTTATACACATTTCTCACGCCAACACGTTATTCTCAGGCTCTGAAGATGGTGCTTCTCTTCAAAGTCTGAGGACTATTCAACAATAATCTAATTTTCACCTGTGCATGATGGGATTGCACCACAGTGAGAGTAAATTCTGTTCTTACACAGGTGCAGGTGTATGGAGAGAGAAATGCAAAGTGCAAAAAGGCTCCAACGGTGGTGCAGTGGTTAGCGCTTATGCCTCACAGCAAGAATTTCTGTGTGGAGTTTGCATGTTCTCCCCCAGTAGGCAAAATAGTTCTGGCCATTTCTGTGTGGAGAGAGACAAACGCCCACATCAGTTGTAAGGCGCTTTGTGACTCTGGTCTGTGAGAAGCACTAAATAAAGATGACTTACTATTATTCATAATGATCAGTGAATGAACATCCTGCACAGTCGTGGACATCATACAGATTTATTGTTTGGCCTCTAAATATACAAGAAATGAGACACACACGGGGGACTGAACCTGGAGCGTCCTTCGTCCCAATGGAACTCAAAGCTCAGAAAAGATTTGTGGAACGTCTGAAAATAAATAACAGTGTTGTCAAACAGGATCGTGTCGTTTTGAAGTTGAAAGAAACATTAGTGAAGCTCGTCCTCAATCAATGCTCTGAAGGAAAACCGTGTTTTTCAGTCTGCGATGGATTATTCTTCAAGTCCAGCTGAGGTCGATTTAGGCTTTTATTCCAAAGCCATGAATAATAAAACATGAATAAATTCAAAGTCAATATGTATAAATATAATTCAAATCTATGGCCGATTTTGTCCTGGAGTTTGGAATTGAATGTACATATAGGTATTGATTATCTAGATTTCTCATTTTAACATGATTGTGAAATATTTTTTTTTTGTATTTTTTAACTTTGCTGTATGTACTAATGTCAATCTACTGCATATCCATCAGATTCTTTAATGACCATAAATGTAGCATTGTGTGATTGTGTCGTGACGTCAGTAAACGAACAAGGTGCTTCTAACGTGTTCCAAACTTTAATTGCATACTTCGGAACATGGATGAGTCTTCTCTCGGGGGTGGAGTCCTGCAGTGGCTGGTTTTGATTGGACAGATTAGGGGGGAACCATCATGTTAACGATGAGCCCCAAGTGCTTAAACAATGTCTCATTTAACCTTTAACCATTTCAAAAACACACACAGCTGCAAATTAAATTCAATAAATAAGACCCACAATGTTGTAAAGCAATGTTGACCATGCATCCGTCACGAAGAACAAAAAGCAAAAACATGGTAACAATATGCACATTCAAGGGGAGCATAGGCCCCTGCTTTGTCAAGTAAAGAGTTCAAGGCTTTCCAGGTGAAGTCCTGATGCACAGGGGTCCCACACAGACCCTGTGTGTGGAGGTCCTGATGCACAGGGGTCCCACACAGACCCTGTGTGTGGAGGTCCTGATGCACAGGGGTCCCACACAGACCCTGTGTGTGGAGGGCAGCCAGCTGCTCTGCATCAGGACAGTCCTGACGTCTCCAGGTAACTCTGCAGCTTCCTCACCGTGCCGCGATCCAGCGAGCAGAGGTCAAAGTCAAATGTAGTGTTTGTGATGTGAAAGTGCCCGGTCTCCTCGATCAGGTTCACGATCTGGAACAAAATCACACAGTTCATTAGCTCTATGTGCTTTCATTAAAGCATCCAAAGAATTATTTTTCTATGTAAGTAAATTATCTTTATACCACATTTCACAGACCAAGGTCGCACAAAGCACAATGTTGGTGTCGAGTCCATTTGCTCAAAACAGTCAAGCCAGAAGCCCACAGCCTCAGTCCCGGGAGGATCTACAGCCTCAGTCCCGGGAGGATCTACAGCCTCAGTTCATACAGCCCCAGTCCCGGGAGGATCTACAGCCTCAGTCCCGGGAGGATCTACAGCCTCAGTCCCGGGAGGATCTACAGCCTCAGTTCATACAGCCCCAGTCCCGGGAGGATCTACAGCCTCAGTCCCGGGAGGATCTACAGCCTCAGTCCATACAGCCTCAGTCCCGGGAGGATCTACAGCCTCAGTCCCGGGAGGATCTACAGCCTCAGTCCATACAGCCTCAGTCCCGGGAGGATCTACAGCCTCAGTCCCGGATCTACCGCCTGTCTGTCCGTGGGTGCAGATCCAGTTTCTCACTTTTCCCCACGGGGTTTGGAGTTGTTCCTTGCCGATGTAGGAGGGTCTGAGGACAGTGATGATCTTTATGGACCAATAGCTTCTATGTGTTTGTTATTTTTGGATTTCCTAATAATAACAGATTCAGATTCATTTTACTGGCCATGTGCAGTATAAAAACTACATTGGAATACATTTGCAAAAAAAGGTACTCTGTGTGCACCGACAGAATAAAAAGCACGATACAATGTAATATGAAAGAATAAAAAAACAGCTGACACTGTGGCACCGATCAACAAAACGATATAAGGGGTAAAAGCAGGAATTAAAGTGCTCTGTTTAGGCACCTAACAGCCTGTGGAAAGAAGCTGTTAGCATAGCGAGATGTCTTGCATCTCAGCGACCGATATCTTCTGCCAGAGGGAAGAAGCTGGAACATGGCTTTCCCAGGGTGGCCAGAAGAGTCATTGATGATTTTAAGAGCTTTGTTTAAAAGTCTGGATTTATAAAGAACCTCCAGAACAGGAAGCTCACAGCCCACGGTCCTCTTTGCAGAGCGGAGCACCTTGTTTAAAGCTCTCTTTTCTTTATCTGTGATGTTTCCAAACCACACAGACACAGAACCAACAAGTAAACTCTCAATGGTGCAGCGATAAAAGTTAAGTAGAATCTTAGAGTTAGTGGTAAATTCTCTAAGTTTCCGCGATTTCCTAATAATAACAAACTGCTGTGTGAAAACTCCACACAACAAGACACGTCTGAAGGTGGAATTGAACCCAAGACCTTCTCACTGAAGCATTGGCGTTGAGGCCCCCTGCACCATTAACATTCGCCACGATGTGGTCGAAAACAAAGCCATGTGAAGTAGGTGAGAAGAGTCTGATCAGAGATACAGCAGTGGACATGTTTCTGCATTTTCCTGAGTCTGCAGTTAACACTGAGCCAGTCCGTGGTCCTGGGGGTGACGAGTCCCGCTTTAATCATTCCCATGTCCTGAGCAGGATGTGGGGCTGATGTGGGGCTGAGATCTCACTGATTACTCTGACTCGTGCAGAGGATGCAGTGGTAGAAGGATCTGGAGCCAGCGCTCTGGTCAGGAGAGCGAGGCAGGAGCTGGCAGTCTTCGGTGGCGGCTGCGTTAATGCCGTCATCCGATAGTCTCCGAGAAAATAAGCAAGAAACAGGCTCTGGTGGAAGCAGGTTCACCAGATCGTTTATGGATTCCAGATGAAGCAGTACATTACAGATCCCTAATAAACCACACTACATGGTTTCATGCAGAGGGTAGCAGCAGAAGGCACACAGGGACAGGGCAGGGCACACAGGGACAGGGCAGGGCACACAGGGACAGGGCAGGGCACACAGGGACAGGGCAGGGCACACAGGGACAGGGCAGGGCACACAGGGACAGGGCAGCGCACACAGGGACAGAGCAGGGCACACAGGGACAGGGCAGCGCACACAGGGACAGGGCACACAGGGACAGAGCAGGACACACAGGGACAGGGCAGGGCACACAGGGACAGGGCAGGGCACACAGGGACAGGGCACACAGGGACAGAGCAGGGCACACAGGGACAGGGCAGCGCACACAGGGACAGGGCACACAGGGACAGAGCAGGACACACAGGGACAGGGCAGGGCACACAGGGACAGGGCAGGGCACACAGGGACAGAGCAGGACACACAGGGACAGAGCAGGGCACACAGGGACAGAGCAGGGCACACAGGGACACAAGGCACTGGGAGACTGCACCAACTCAGGCCTGAAGTTTATAGAAAGATTGATATTTTATTGATCCCTCAAGTTTTCAGTTATCAACAGACTCACACACTTCAAATCCACATCCACCATAAAAAATGATCTGTTTGTACCAAAACTATTCACCAACACCATAACTACCCCATCCACTGTCCTTGCAGTTTTAAACTTGTTTTATTAAAGGTACTTTTATTTGTATGTATTATGTAAAGCAAACGTGAGTGTCTAGAAAGGCACATACAAAATCAAATGAATTATTTAGGCGTCTTTGAGTGTCCAGAAAAACGCGATATAAAACCTATGCATGATGATTATTGTGATGATAATAAATTCAGGTTTCCAGCAGCAGAAGCATCCATCCATCCATACAAACAAATAAGTACATCATTCCAAAAGTGATTAACATCAGTAATGCAACAGCAGCAGCAGAGGTGGTGCAGCCGCTGGTGATGAGCTGCTTTGGTTCTGACCATTTCCTCTGCTCTGGTTCAGAGTGAAATTCTGAAAGCTTTAATAGCCTTTTATAACAAAAATCAGCAACCCTCCAGTGGATTTAAGCTTGATTTGCTTTGTTAGGGCTGTGCTTCCGCTCTGGTCTGGATCAGTGTAAAATATGAACATTGTGCTGCAGTAACATTTACAGGTAGAAAAAAGCAAGAAAAACAACGATTGTAAAGCACTAAAAAACAACCGTTTCAGAGACACTTAGGACTTGCTGCGGTTTCCAGCGCATTCAAAAGTATATAATTATTATTATTGCATTATGACTGTTCGTTTCACAGCTGAAAACCTTTGAAACATTCCATCGTCCGCGGTCATTAAGACTGAACTCACTGACATTGACCCAGCTCTGCATCTGTTGGACGGGTCAGAGAATGATGTCGTGATTGGAACGAAGCCCAGCTGTAGGCGGCTGAACTCATGGGGTCGCTGCCTCAGACTGTCTTCAGACATCTGAGGACTTTGTGGGGAACATTTCAAACTAAATACAAAACTGTAATAATAATAATAATAATAAAACAACTTGCTGGTCAGAAAAAAGATTGCTGTAGGAAAATGAATGGTACCGGTCATTAATATATAATGACTATTTATTCACAGTTTTTGACTTTTTAATGCTGACTGTGCAGTGCTTTGTAAACACTTATAGAAAAATGTAATACAAATAAAGATGTATTATTATTATTATTATTACAGCTCTGTCCCACTATCTCTAAAAACATATGGTCTAAACCCAGACGGATAAATAAAGAAAATATTATGCATTATTATTTTAGTTCCTCAAACATAATAAGGCGTTGTGTTTTAGGGCTATTGATTGAAGAGGTATTTTTATGAAGTAGCACTGTTGTACCGCTGTTATAAAGAATAAATCAATAAAAAAAAAAAAAAAGTGTTTATATATGTGTGTGTTATGTATATATATATATATATATATGGATATATGTGTAGGTAAGGTAAGTGTGATGGTAATGATGACAACAGCAATGGCACTAATATAGATAATAGTGATAACAATATTAATATTGATGAATGATAAGCATAATAATAATGATAACGATAATAATAGCAATAGTAAGGGTAAGAATGATAGCAAACACAAACAGAGCAGGGCAAGTGGAGAGGGCCTATCAATGAGGGTGAACAACCTGGAGTTGTTAGGCCCCAAAAATCTTTAACGCACCACTAGCACAAGAAATAACATAATTATTGTAAATTATTGTTATTATTATTATTTTTTTGTATGATGTTTCTTTATTGTTAGTTGTCGTTTTGTTATTATTATTGCGTTTTGTCCTATATACGTATATATATGTATATATATTGCATATGAAATATGCATAACTACACATTGTTGGGCAGTAAGATGTCAGACCACTTTACTTATTTAATCACACACCCCATAGTAACCATTACTGCTATTACCTACTCATATCCTCCCTTTCTCAGCTTTATATCTCCCACTAGCACACACACTCACACACATACTTACCCTACCCTAACTCCCCCAGCTTTGTTGTTTATTGTACTGTAACCAACAATGTATTATCACTGTTATCTGTATTTTGTGTCTTTTCCTGTATGCTTGTCACTTTATAATTGTGAATAAAATAAAATAAAATAAAGAATACATTGGTTAATCACACATTCTACAGACTGTAAATATTCGACATATCCTTTACACAGCGAGTCAATGTCACATGAACAATGATTGACTAGCTAGCGATGCGAGGCTGCTGCTAGGTCTAGCTTTGCGCCATTTCCATTTCCAAACCCACACTCTTTAAAACTCTGCAGCTGGGGACTTTAGGCAAATGTAGCTCCGTGTGGGCATTCAAATAACACACGACGGACCGAGGCCTCACCTGTTGGAGGATGTGGCCCTCTCGTAGCGTCATCAGTCTCTTGTGCAGCTCCACCAGCTCGTCCAGATAAGCCTAGTGAACAGACACAGCGGGGGGCCTTCACTCAGAATGCACGGGTCAGAACGGTCAGCGCAAACTAGCAGAGGGAGGTGTACCTTGTCACACTCCAGGGTTTTGCTCTTGTCCTGCCTGCTCTGCCTGGTGGGGCTTTTCACCTCCAGGATCTGAATACATGCACATGCAGTATTTATGAGTCATGCTTCAAATGGTGTTTGCTAAAGAAGGGGAGAGGGCGGGGGTGTGTTTCAAAGGAGCAAGGGAATATAAGAGCAAACAGTGTCTCTTTGGAGTTTCTAGTAAGTAACTGTTTAACCCTTGGCCTTTACTCTGGTCAAATTGAACCGCCACAGTGATTCAAAAATATCCAAAATATATATCATTCTACCTTAATTTTTATGGTTTCTCCACATTTTCTCAGCCCTAGGTTTTTTAAACACTTTTAGACCCCAACTTAGGATATTTTTGATCTCATTTTGAGGTTATCACAAGGGTTAAAAAGTATCTGCTTCTTCCTTTGGATTTTGGATCCAAAAGCCGGTTTCCACCTGCCCTACTTGGGCCAATTCTGTTTTTTAAAAGAATTTTTGAAAGACAAGTTAGATGTTCTTCATTGTTAGCACGTTCTAGCTGCAGAGCTGTGAGCCATCTTCAGACCTTTAACCCGCTGAAGTGACGTAGCCACCTGTCAAACCAGGAAGAAAGTTTTGCTTCTTCCTTCCCCCTTTCCAACTTACTGACGTGTACTTTGATTCCTATGCACAGTCTGAACAAGTTGTACATACACATACTGTAGATATACAGTAGATAAGCTCAAATTATAGTTATCAAAAAAGGGTTAGTGTATCAACCTTTGAGAAAAGATGCTTTTGCCTAAACTTTCAGATGATATTAAGCCAGAACAGAGGTTTCACTACTTACAAACAGGTTTTGTAGTTACTTTCAGGATAAATAAGTAGGATAAAAGAGTTCAAACTACAATAGAGACATATTGCTGTGGTTTCAGGGGTAAATAAAATCTTAGTAGGAGCACATAAAACTGCAATACATTATAACGCCAACCTCCAAACAGGACGGCAAAGCATGTCCCGCAAACACACAGAGCGGGAGACAGCAGTCGTGGTTACCTGGTTGGTCGTGGCCTTGAGGAGGGGCGGGGCTTCATGACGAGATGGCGGCGGCGAGGGGGAGGAGCTGTCACTCTCGCTGCCGTCGCTCAGACTGACCCTGTGCACAGAGAGCGGCGAGTGCAAAAGCCTTAATATCTCGGTTTTGCATTGTGGCTTTGGATACGACTGAGATGCAATAGCCTAAGCTGTACAAGTCTAATTATCATTGAACAGATTATTTCACAGTAAATTTAAAGAAACATCCAAAAGAAAACAATGATCAGGTAATTTTTTTTTAATCGGTGTCTAGGCCAGGGGTGCTCAAACTCTCTCCCAGTATTATTTATTAAAATACTGCCAAAGTCTTGGGCCAATTCAGGACCATGCAGCATTCCATTGTAGTCTCAGATTATCATGAACAAATCAATTGTTTGTTGTTGTTGACTTCTTCCCACTCATTTTTGAGCTTTAACTGGAAAGAATAAAGAAAAGGAAAATTTTTTATATATATATTAATGTATGTATGTATGTAGGTATGTATGTACGTATGTACATTTCTATCATGTATTATATGTAATTGCTGTTAAAGCTATAATTGATTCCTGTTTATAAGCTTGAAAAAAAATGCAAAAAAAATAAAAAATAAACAAAAAATCCAAATCAGATTCAGATTCATTTATTTGCCATTTGCAGTAAAATATAAAAAAAAAAAAAAAAAATAACAAGACATTTTATTATCTCCTTTGTATTCTATGGTTTATGGCAGAGGTGTCAAACCCGTTCAAGAAAATGTTGCAAAACATGAGAATGACAGAGAAAATAAGGAAGAAAACTCTTCATTAATCATGTTTGTTATTTAAGTAAGTAAGTAAGTAATCTTTATTTATATACCGCCTTTCACAGACCAGAGTCATTAAGCGGTTTACAAATGTTATTTTTGGGCACACAGAGATGGGAGCGGGGTCGCCGAACAGGAGGCATATGCCAGACCTATTGTACATATTTTTAGTGGTAGGGGAAACCGGAGTACCCGGAGGAAACCTTCGCAGACACGGGGAGAACATGCAAACTCCACTCAGAAAAGCCCTGGTCCGACTGGGATTCGAACCCAGGACCTTCTTGAGATATTGTATATTTGTTTATAAGGGTTGGACAGTAGAAACTAGTAGTAAAAAGCCACTTTACATGAATTCAAAAAGGGTTGTTCTAAGGACCGCTTTTGGCTTTAGTTTGGACATGCCCCGTCTAAGGCCTCTTAGTTAGCTAAATTACAAAATAAATCAGATTTTTCCAGCTCCCAACTTACAATTTCACAAACCAAATCACAGCAACTTCATGAAATCACAATACATGCAGTTGATAGAAAGACTTTTACAGTCACTGTTGATACAGAGCATGTTCCAATGGCAGAGTTTAACTTCATGCTCAAGTGTGTTGTGACTGATGGTTACCTGCGCTGGTGGTGGTGGTGGTGGTGGTGGTGATGATGATGATGAGGGTGTGCAGCTCGGTCCAGATCAGAGTCCAGGTCCTGGTCCTCGTCGTCTTCGGAGTCTTCTTCATCGTCTGAGTGGAGGTCCTGCAGGACGGACTGCAGAGGCCCCAGCACTGGACACAGCAGAGAGAGAGAGTGTGTGATGGACGTGTGTATGTATGTGTATGTGTGTGTGCGTGTATGTATGTATGTGTGTAAGTATGTATGTGTGTATGTGTGTGTATATATGGTATTTTTGCTTGCTCCTTAGTATTCTTAAGTGAGGGGTTTTTGTATTCATCATGCTCAAGTTATTATGCTAAAAGATAGAGATTGTAAACTGCTGCTTGTTATGCAAGAGTTAGAGATTATATTTTTAGTAAAGAGCTATTATTATTTCTTGTTCTATGTGCTCCTCATTCCTACTGTCTAACGTGATGCAACACTGAAATCTCCCCACTGTGGGACAAATAAAGGATCTCTTAATCTACCCACTTTGGGTACAACAAACCTTTTACAGTGGAAGGAATGACACCAAATGCTAAGGGGGGCATTGTGTAAAATTGGATTTTAAGTGATTTTAACAATGTTATTTTGTTCCACTCAAAGATTGTTTTATAATTGATATTATCTATTATTCTGCATTCAGGACACATTGCTTTTTTTTGTCATTTTGTTCACTTCTGACAAAGTAATAACCTTCCTCCACATGGACGGGGAGGCAGACGCACCACTGAGACGGTCATAGTGCACCTTTAACACCTGTGTGTTCCATGTTTGGGAAGAACGCGGAAATGCCATGTGCATTTTTCCATAGAGTCTTGTTGAAACTGATAGTGACGTGGGTCTGCAGTGTGGGACAGCAGACACAGGTTCATAAATGTGTGATAATTGAGTGCAGTCAGTACAAACATGCTCAGGACATGTGCGCCTCACAGGGGGGTTACCTGTGTGGGTGGGAGCAGGGACAGACACCTGTTTCCTGATGATCACGTCCACCACTGTATTCAGAAACAGTCACACACAAGACATCAGCATCTACAGCATGTGTGTGTGCTGACACTGCACTTACATGTGATTGTGTTTGTCGGACTAAATTACAGGCTGCTTTTATCTCACTAAGACTCCACTATGTCTGAATGAAGCACATCTTAATCCTCAGTTTCCTCCAATACTTGGGAATAAGTCGTCAATGTGAAAGTGAAGCAGAGATGCTGCCAACGGTGCTCTTGGTGGTGCTGTGATGAACAGCCCATGCAGCAGGTGCTTACCTTGTCGCTTATGGTGCGAAGAAGCAAAACCCGAACTGGAGCTGGAGCTGGAAGGACTGGGCTGCTCTGACTGGCAACAAGAGCCACAAAAACAAACAAAACAAAGAAAAAGCGTTAATGAACAGAATAGTTGACAGGAGCGTGTAAAATGAGTGCCAAGACCTTGGAAATGGACTTTCCCGCACTTTGTCAGGACTGAGAAAGTGTGTGTGAGAGGCTTGAATGAGTGGTCTGTGAAGGCGCGGAAAGCTGTGCCTCTAAAGAAAACATCCAGGGCTGGGTTACGGCTGCTGGGCCCAGGGTTTATATCCCACTTCATAAATCACACGGGCTAATGACGAGCCACACACGAGCCCGCCAACTGCACCGCCTTCTCCACAACACGCAGACGAAACACACATGATGAACCCAGCTGCATTCAGGGCATACATGTAAGTATCATGTGAGTCAATGTGCACAACCCGATTGGCCAGCTCAGAAAGCAAATGCAAGTCAAGCCTTCAAATACAAACCTGTTTTCAAGTTAGTAAACATAACATGACATTGCAAGAACTCAGACATTAACGGTCTTTACTGTTTATTTGGTTTTCATCCTCCACTTTTACCAGTCATTCTAACATTTTATGTCAGCAGCTCATAAAATACTGACCCTGGCAGTGGCTCCGGTTTACACAGGTGTGAGTGTCCAGTTCGGCCTGGGACTAAGCACTTTGGAAAATCTGTCGGCTTGTGTCATCAATGGACAGACTTGGCCCAGTGAGCAGAGCCGTGTCCAGCTGGCTCTCCCAGTGCCACGCTTATCATGAGGCTTGTGATGCAAAATGTCTGTCATTATTTTCATTATGTACCAACTGAATGCATGTTTACATTTTACACAAAGCACAGAGCAGTGTTACGTTCATGTATTTTAAAATCATTTGTCCACAGACATACAACATGCCCAGGGAAAAATACATACATATATAATACATATATTTTAGACCGTGTTTGGGCGAATGGGTTTTTGGAGCAATTCTGCTAAGAGTGTGAAGTATGACCTGGAACAAAACATTTATGATTTACGGTGGTATAAGATACAGAGCAGTGTTACGTTCATGTATTTTAAAATCATTTGTCCACAGACATACAACATGCCCAGGGAAAAATACATACATATATAATACATATATTTTAGACCGTGTTTGGGCGAATGGGTTTTTGGAGCAATTCTGCTAAGAGTGTGAAGTATGACCTGGAACAAAACATTTATGATTTACGGTGGTATAAGATAAGAACTTTTATTCATCCCACAGTGGAGACATTTCAGTGTTGTAGTGCACATACAGGACAAGAGTAAGAACAGACAAAATATACTGCGATAAGAAGCTATGAATGCTTCTTAACCTTTGTGCTTCCCTCGGGTCAAAATTACCCGCCACAGTGATTAAACGAGGGCGACAGTAGCTCAGTTGGTAGAGCATTGGCCTTAAGGCCAGAAGGTCGTGGGTTCAATTCCCACCTTCTCCACCGACTCCCACTGATGACTGCTGTCGTTGTGTCCTTGGGCAAGACACTTAACCCCACTTTGCCCAAAGCCCCCACTGAAAGATCAAGGCTATGCTCACACTCAGAGAGCAGCCGTCCTCCTGTGGACTCACCACCTGCAGAGGGTCAGTGAGGGGCTGGTGCTATGAGACTTGGGTGGCATCTCTGACTGCCACCCCCCTGACCCAGGAATGGATTAAAGGGTAGAAAATGAATGGATGGATGGAGTGATTAAACGTTGAAGAAAAATCTAAATGATCCAAGGTCGATCAAGTTAGGAAAAATCATTCATCATCATTCAGACCAACATTTCTTTTTAAGTAGGGTAATTTTTTATCACTGTGGCGGGTCAATGTGACTTGAGAAACGCACAAGTAGATGTATAAGATTTATGTCTGATGTATTGTTATATTTTAGAATTTGTTGTTCCTTTGAGACAACATGGAAATTATCCTCATACTAACATTAATTATGTCTGTCGTTTTTAACATGCACTATCTCTAATAAGACACAATCTGATGCAGCCATCTAATAGCGTCGCAACAAATGTGTTGATTTTTCATTTTAATTTAATTTAATTTAATTTGTACTTCTCCCCAATTCCTTTCAAGAATCCGTGTGTAAGTTCCTTCCTTTTGAGGTCTTGGAACACTATTTGCTTGAAACAAATAAATATATAGAAATAATAAAATAAATTGAATTCCATATATTTGTGTAGGTTGATACATTTACAAGACGACACAGAAGAATTTACAAAGTCGTTGATTCGCTAACAACAGATCAGAGAATTAAACAGTTCAAACATTTTCCTACAGCCACACAAAAGCCTGTATGTGTGAGGTAAAGCTGTTGTTTTAGCAAAATAGAGAAGCAAGAATAAAGTAATAAAATTCGAGATTTTATACTTACTACTTGTAAGTATAAAACTGGTGATGCAACTCTTAAATCTCCCCACTGTGGGACAAAAAAAGGATTTCTTAATCTCAAATCTGGTTCCCATGCCTCACAAAAATTGAACATGAAACACCACCACTCTAGTCCGCTCTAATTTAAAGACCACTACTGAACGTTAAAAGCTGGATGTGTCACTACAGCCCAATTACAAGGCTCTTCTTCAGAGAGAGAGACATAACGACTGGCCTGGCTCCTGAGACTGACCACCGTCTCTGCTGCGTCCACGTGGAAACAGCAGTGAGTCAGCAGCCATCAGGCCACACCCCCGCTGTGTGAGGGAGCAGTGGGCATTTGTTATGACTGACTGTATTCAATATGAAGCACACATTTCAGTCTGATAAAGAGCAGTGCTGCGTAACCAGAGGAGCATGCAGTTGTGTTCAAAATATAAATATTCGGTTCTAGAGATACAGAGCGGGTTCTACTCTGACAATGTTGAAACCAGGCTATTAAAACAAAACAGTTCTGTATCTTCACTCTTTTAAATGTACTGTGATTGTTTATGCCTTGTATGATCTTGTTTTGTTAAGCACTTTTAGTTTCCTTGCACCATGCGTATGAATGGTGCAATATATAAATAAACTCACCATGCCTATTGCAAATGTCCTGCAAAACATGGCAGAGCAGAAGCTAAGCATACACACCAGGGGTCGACCAATATTCATTGATAGCGTCTTTGGGTCAATCCTTATACGGCTCACAACTCCAGCTTGTTTTAGCAACCACCTTAGCAACACGTCTGCCACTGTCATGGCATGAGGCTAACCCATCAAAAAATGGCCATAAGGGAAATTTGCTCTTACTAGCTTATGTTAAAAACGGCTTCTTCCACATTCACCCAACACTAGTGCTTGGTCAGTCCACTCCTAATGTAAGCTCTGTGCCCCTGCTACACATTTTAAATCCAGTTTAGGGAAACATCGATGCCGGTAATAAGACATCAATACCAAATTCATACGACCGATCCAACTCTACGGCTGCTGTAAAAAAGCACATTAGCCTGTCCTGGTTGGCTGAAGACGAATGAGAAAGAGCACAAGTGACAAAAGACAGAGGCTTGAATGGTTGTTCCGTCCTGCCAACAAACAGCACCCAGCTGGTGTGGAGTTTTACGGGACAGCTCCTTCTCACAGTCATAAATCTGAGTGTGCTCCTTTTTAGGGCTTTTGTCCGGCACAACTCAAAGCCACCAAAGCCGCTCTCTTTAAAGGCCATAAATAACAGTTAGCCGTGGCACTGCACTCCTTCCCACCCATTCCACCCCCAGCCCTCTCTTCCCTCCCTGAGTCTTGGCACAACCTGGACAACCAGAGAAAAACGCAGCGAACACGAGTGTTTGATCAGCCTGTCCGATCCAACAAGCACTGAATAAACAAAACAACTGTAATGGGAATTAGAAGCTTTTGACTCCGACGCCGTGGTGCTGGCAACGACAAAGAGCTTTCTTGTACAGTACAGAGCTTTTCATGTTTAACGCTAAACTTTAACACACACATATACACACTGAAAGTAAAATACAATTAAATGTTGGGCTAGCAGGCATTTCTAACTCACTGAGCATGTGTTTGGTCAAATGGCTGTATTTGACCAAACAACCCTGGTGAATAAAATGTATTCGCTAAAATGGAGGCATGACAAAAACTCTAAACAAGTGGATCAGACCGATATTACTAATAGTTTTAACTATGCAAAACAACTAAAGCAACTAGGCAGCAATGTGATATAAATTTCTCCCCCATTAAAACCAAAATCACAACCAAATCTTCAGCTAATTTACAGTTACTCTCATTATTTCAGTTCATATATATTTACTTGAATTGAATAAGTCTAGTAGTCCACCAGCAGCCCAACAACTGTGATATAAGCATAAAGAATCGCTCACTAAAAATAATGAGCTCCTTCAACCGAAATGTTATTATATTGACCTCAACACAGTAACAAGGAAAGTCCCACAGAGATTTCAGACTCTTTCAGGAGAGTCCAGAGCCCAGAGAGAGGGGAAATATTCTACATGTTTTTCGTGTTAGGGGAAAGTCATGTATGAGAGTAAATTGTGGTAAAACTGTTGAAAGTGATTCAGTGAGAGTAAACAAATTGTAATTTAGAAACTGACACTTTTTTGCTTCATAAATAGCAGATGTTGTAAAAGTAAAATGTCGTGAAGAAATTAATCAACCCACAACCTGCGGTCTTCATCCTAGAGTAAAAACATGTTTGCATACGTTTAAGAAAGAGCTCTGGGAGTCAATATATTACTCTTTGGGCTGAGAGTGACTTTTTTACTTTTTCTGTCTAATAATGTACTAAAATGTCATGCATCAGCTGAAGGATTGTAACTTCACTCCTTTTAATTGTACTGTGATTATTAATGATTTTAACATTTATTATCTTGTTTCGTTAAGCATTCTGACTTGCCTTTTGTATGAAATTTGCAATAGAAAACAGCACAGTGCCTTGCCTTTACCTGTAACAAGCATTCTGATTGGCCGATTCACCACAAGACCAAAATATTGATCGACTCTATCCAAGGATTTCCAGAACATGGCAGTGGCCTGTTCTGCGTGTCATCACCTTGTCCCCGTTTCCTGCTCGATCAAACAGTTCGCCCCTTTGCCCCGGGCCACCGGGGTTGCTGGCGTGGGGAGAAGCGGACACCTGGCATTTGTCACCCCACATTCCCCCCCTTTTTACAACCAACCAGACCCTTACACCCCCCCCCCCCCCTCCTCTTCTTCCCAAACCTCTGAAAAAACCCTGTGGGAAAAGTTAAAAGACTGCGCAGACAATACACAGGTTTGCCCCACCACTGAGTAATAAGTCCCTGCGCTCAACAAGCTGCTAGCAAGCACAAAGACTCTGCACTTTACGCAAAGCGACGGCGAGAGAAAGGAAAACATGTCATGGATAAAAGCGAACTCCTCTGAGCTGCGGGATTTGGTCTTCTCTCCACAAATGCTCCAGTTTTCCTTACATTGAAAAGGCTAAAAGGATTTTAAAAAAAGGGGTAGCTCCATGCTATTCAGGGGCCGTCTTCTCTCCTTTCTCCTCAGGTGTTGTAAAACCATAAATCTTCTTTATGGGGAAGAGCACTGAAAAGCTTGCGGAGGAGACCCAGGCAACACGCTCAAAACGCTAAAAACTGTACTAAAAGAATTCAGTCCGGGAACGTCATCTTGTAAATTCTTATGCTGAAATGATTCCTGGTTTTTATTGGCACGCTGCTTTCCCTCTCCTGTGCAATTCCCCTGAGCTGGACCCCCAGAACCTCACGGACCACCCTTACAGATGCCCCTGAGTGGGGTTTATAGGCCTATCGTGCAGAGCGAAGCCACCAACAAATTCGAAAAAGCCTTGAAACGGTGACGATGGTGCATTCTTGTAATAACCCGGAGATGGTAAGGTCACACAGCTGCTTCTTAAAAACCACATGATGACAAAGATTGAAGAGAAAATGGAATAAGTCCCGCACTCGAATCCACTTAGGGATAAGGGGATAGAAGCATTTGCAAACACTTAACTATATGAGTTAATCGTGAAGTTTGCCGTCTGGTCATTTACAAAGACTGGGGAAAGTTACATTTCAAGGATTTTTAATGTGAAGTAAATTTGTGAAGGATCGATGCAAGTATGCAGTAGTATCTAGTATAGTTCATAAGCTGGGACAGAAAATACAATGAAATATATGCATGCCTTGGTTAATTTTGTATTGGACAATGTTCCCGGGGTACTCAACTATATTTCATTATAAGTAAGTAAAATGTTGTGAATAAAGCAGACAACATGCAGTCTTCAAATTATTTAAAAATACTTTTTCTTGTAAGAAAGCACCCTGTGAAGAATATTGGAAGAATTGAAGTTATTGAGCAGTAAAAACATTAGTCTGTTTTACTTTTTATACTAATATATTCTGAGGTAGAATCCAAGCAAACAAATACCTCTATAGCAACAAGTGGGTAGCACGCATAAAAGTTGCGCAATTTATGTTCAAGCATTCCGGCAATTAAAAAAAAAAAAAAAACAAAACAGTGGAGATACATTTGAAAGTGTTCTACTCACATAAGACTTGGCCGAGTGGTCATCCAGGTCCGAGTCGTTGGGGTCGACTCTCTCCTGAAATGGAGCCAGAGTCGGTCCTTTTCTACGCTCGGCCTCCTCAGCCTCTGGTCGGGTTTTACTGATGCGAGTCTGTGACCGATCCTTTAAAAGTTTCTTGTCTGAATGTTGAGTTTCTGAGGTCTGCTTCCCGGAGGAGTCCACAAATCCCTTTTTACGTTTTTTGGTCATGTGATCCTCCGCCTCGTGGCTGGAGAGGCGCTTGTTGGGCCCTGGAGCGAGAGAACCTTCAGTTCGGAGGTCCTTGGATATAGATTTGGGTTCCTTGAAGCCCATCTTAGGGGTCATGTCTCTTAGTGGCTGATTCTCTTTGGGTTTCCTGGCAGGTTCTTTGGGGGCTTTGCTGGACTCCCAGCCCGAGTCTCTGAAGGCACTTTTGGACTCTTTCAAGTCTTTCGGAGGCTTGTCTTTGTGGTCCTTGGAGGGCTTTTGTATTTTGGAGAAACTGCTGCTGTTAGTGCTGGTGGTTGTGGCTGTGGTGAGGAGCACACCGCCTCCTTTGGATCCATCCTGTGGAGACAGAAACACAAGATACATTCAGATTCAGATTAAATTTGGCTCCTTAAGGATGATATGAGCATGATACAATATTCTAGGGCTGGGCGATATAAACGGTATAAGCGGTATGTGATATAAATTTGGCCCACGGTAGAGATTTTTGTTATACCGGCATATTGCAATAGGCCATTATGTCATCAAATTGCGCAGGCTCTGACGCCAGCAGAAAGGACCAAAACAAACTGGCATTCAGCAGCATTAGCCTAGCACTATTAGCCTAGCAGACACCACTGGAAACAACGCACAACAGCACGGCATTAACACCGTGTTTCTGTCTATGTATTGTTGTCACAGCGGCCCCAGCAGAGGTAAATACACACACAGTAATCACAGTTTAAGCGTCTACCTTTTGGCCAATCAGTGTCAAAGGGGCGTAGGCTCGAAGCGCCAGTGTGAGCCAAAATAGATCCATGCAAGTGCCGTGTCCGCAGAATCACAGCAGAAGTTTGGAAAAGTTAGCGTCAGATTCGGTCAATATCTTACGAAAGCTACTTTGTTAAACAAAATTAATTGTGCCAAAATGATCATTTACATCAATTGTTCAAATCCAATGCACTGTTGTAATGAACATAAATCCATTGAATCATCCAGTTCACTGCAAGCGCAGAGAAAAGCGCTTAGGGAGCGTCAACAAATTGCAAGACCAGCTTTGTAAACGAACAATAGCTTTTACTGAAGTCATGTACCTGCACAAAACTCTCAGACACTATAAATAATGACCATGTCTAACTCCTACAGACTTTGATTTCAACATTTGTGAGTTTTTTATATTTCAAATGAATACATATGTTTTTCTTTAAAAAGAATTGCTTTTACAGTGAATGGTATTTACTGTAACATACATAAATAATGTTACAACATTTGTCTCTTTATTCGTCTCACAACTAAATAACTCAAAAAATATATATATTAGATTCTAATATATAAATAAGTAACAATTTTGACTATTTTATGCAAGAACCTGCTAGATCTATATTGAAATTCACACACCAAATTATACCGCAATATGAATTTTAGGCCATATCGCCCACCCCTACAATATTCTTATGTCCCAAAAGGAAGAAGTGGTCACCCATGGTTTCTAATATTAAGAGAAAAGAGACATAGCCAGTTTTCCCCGGCAGTAAAAAGGTTACTGTACTATTTCAGAATAATCTTACTTATTATTAAGAATTCAATAATGGTTTAAACATGAAATGAACAGAGTTAATGGTTGAACTGAAGATTGAGTTTCCAGGGAAACTTTCTGCACAAACAATAACCCCTAAACTTCAAACAAGAACGAGCAAGATCCCAAAAAGGTTCTGTCCAACAGCGAGGTGCTGAAGCAGAGTTACCCGGTTTTAGCAACAAAAGGAAACTCAGAGCTCAAAAGGCTTACTAATAAGAAAAGGGGAAATCCAGCCTTAGGTCAGTGGGCAAGCATAAAGGTGAGGACGCATTTGGCCACTGTGAGATTCTGCTCCGTGGTTTCGAAAGTAAAAAGGGGAGAGAAAGCAGCTCTGATGTGCTGTTGACATTTGGCTTTGAGTGCAGTTCTGTGGCTGCAAAACAACACCCGCAGAAGCAGCCACATCACAGATTAATCCTCTTCCTTTTTACACGTGCAAAATGTCCATGGCACCCTGCAGTTTGGCATTACAGACAGTGAAAAGGGCCTCTGATTGAAATCCGCCTCTTATTTCTGCATGTATGGGCTTAAAGAGCAAACTTAGGACTTCCTTTTGAGCACGACAGAGAGAGAGAGAGAGCTGCCCTGGAGAAAAGAGGAAATGCACTGGGGGCCATTTGTCCTGGGGTCTCACCTTCAGCCTTCTGTCAATATTTCATCAATGCACTAAAGCCATTACAGCGTCTAGACAGGAGTGCGTGTTAGCAGTGCGGCCGGCCACCTCGACGGCTCTTTCATTGGCTTTATCAGTCACTGACCCCGCGACCCGGAGGATGTAAAACTGCCGGCTTGAGCTAGCGTGCTTTCCACCGCAGTAAAAGCTCTGCCCACATGAAATAAACAAAGGTACTTTATTGCCGGGGTCTAAGCAGCACCGAGCTAATCAGCGGACTTGAGTCAGTAGTATTGCAGCGTGTCAGCAGGTAGTCTAAGTTTATAGAGCCTCAGGAAGACAGAGGAACAAAGGTGACACCAGAGCCTCCTCCACTCTGGCAGAGAGATGCAGGATTTGACACTGATGCAACACATGCGGTTACCTCCTACATACCAAGTGAAGCACATTTAATCTGATTAAAACAAAAAGGCACTTGTGTCCATGGCACCGTTTAAGATTTTGATCAATCTAACTTGTAAAACCCATTTTTCCAACAGTTTCCAAAGTTCTGCAGATTTAAAAAAAAAGACAAAATACACAATAATAATGCATCGGTTTTAGAGTAAGGGTGCTTCCACTTCCTTAATCCCCAGCCAGAGAACCCTTTGTTGCCCCCGGCTAAGCAGGAGTTGAGAACTCATTCAGCAAGAGGAGCAGGGGAGAGCAGAGGATCAGGCATCACAGGACGACAGGCAGAGCACCGGCAACCAGGTCATGTCCAGCCTACACTTCATAGAGACAAGTCTATGAGATGCTGTGTAAGTCCAAAGTAAAAAATGTAGATGGATCCATTTGACTGTCTCTCTGTTTGGGACCCTGACCCAGACCATCAAAGTCCACCGGGAGATTTCCAATGACATATTTAGACCTCCATCCTCCAAGCTAACGCACGCCAAGTTACCCCTTCCATTGCCAGTATTAAATTTGTCCACAGTTTAGCAGCACTAGCTAATGTTAATAGATCTCAATCAACCGTAGCCGTAACGAGAGGCCCATATTTATAGATTTGCATGCAACGGTAGAACATTCATTTTCTTCAGTTTTTACAAACTATGAAAGTCTCTCATGCTGTGAAATAAAATCTCTCAAATAATTATTGAATCAAAGACACCAGCCTGTTTGGATTTCAGTTACCCCTCCAGGATCGCAGCCAACAAGTGGAGCTGTTTAATGCCAGCATACTTCCTTGACACCTGAAGACCTACATGTATACTGCGATCTGATGTTTCTAATATAAATGCTATCCACTCACATTTTCAAACGCACACTTCTTTTTGCATGCGAGTGTGCAGATATGAAGAAGACTTATGGAGGGCAGTTAGTGGTATTATTTACCCTGATTATAAACAAGAGTGACGACAGGCTGCAGCGGAGAGCGTGTGTGTGACCTTCTGCTCCGAGGGTAATTCATCACACAGTGTTTAGACTGGAGAGCGTTTCCATGTGACGTGGGCCTCTCTCCAAACCGGCCGCTTCAATGACACCATTTTCAGCCACTAAAAATATCTTAATGGAAAAAACATGGCACAATATTGGAGCGCGGCGTGATTTAGGGCCATAATGGTTGAAGATATCATTTTCTCATGTGGATTTGTGTAGGGTTTCTCTGGCGCTGAGGTCGGTTGGGTCAGGTAAACTAAACTTGTACCACTCTGGGCCAGCGGCTTTGACAAGAGAATGGGAATAAGCGCTTACGTCTTAACGGCAGCCAAGATATAGTTTTTGCTGGAACTGGAGTTGAATGCTTTTGAGAATCTGGCGAGTTCAAATCGCTTCAGACGTCGTCTTTGAACATGCCAAGTATGCGAGGATTAGGACTGTGAGCGTTTGGGGGGGTGAAGAGGTTCTAGAGGAGGTGGGGCAAGCTGTGGTCCAAGAGCCCAGTGTTTCTCAACCAATGGTTCATGGCACGTTGCTTTGAGATGTTAGGCGTACCTTTGGAAATGATCCAATATCTCCTCATTGGTCAAAATAATGTCAGTAGATTAGACTTTTTGTGATTGTTTGATTTTCTACATAATAGAAATTGAAAAGGATTTGAGTTTTTATGAAGTGTTTGTTTTTCTATACAATACAATTTGAGAATGATATTGGTTTATGATTTAAGAACCACTTTAAGTGCCAAGGGATTATTTTACATGAAAAAGATGCTGAGTAAGTGCTTTGTAAAAGGTTTAGGTGGCTCAGTTGGTGGTCTGGGCTGTTAAGTGTCACAAACAAAGACTGTCAAAGTCCACAGGGACATTTTTGATGACAAAGAACCTCTGCAGCTGTGATCATATTGTTAGTCACTTTTAAAATAACATATTAGTATGGATGGATGTGTTTCTGCAGCCGGACACCAGAACTTCTCCTGCAGGGATCAATAAAGTATCTATCTATTCATCAATCAATCAACCAGTATAGACTACTATCCTCCAAGATCCTCAGTACATTTTAAATAAAGAAAAGGTATAGACCTTTGTGGGATGGAGGCTTTTGCTCTTCTTGGGTTCTGATGAGAAGGAGGTCAGGGAGCTGTTGGGGAGCGTAGGCAGCTTGAGGTGCTGTCCGAACAGGGACGTAGAGCCTTCCTGCATCACCATAACCTGGAAGAACAGAAACACTGTTATAACAAGCTCCGCCCCCTTTGAAATATACCTCTGATCCAGAGAAGAAAAAAAAAAGCAAGATTCAATATGTGTGTGATATGCCAAGAAGTGGTGCATGGAGTGGGTATGGAACGTGGCCAAGTTTAGGAAAAACATTTGAGTTCATTCACGCTGGGAAAGAAATTGACTTGACAGAGTACGTTACTTCCTTCTGTTGCCACTTCTGTTAATTGAAGAGTTATGTGATGTCAAAAGCCTGATTGAGACATAGTGGTTTTATTGATTGCGTCTCCAGGAATATGGACACTGTAGACAGTAATCTAATCACTCTTAATCTGGGTTAACATTAATAGGGATTTTTCAACATTATACTTACGGAGGAACATCCCAAAACACAAACAGATCTGACAAGATTGTGAAGTTATAGAGATGATTGGATCTAGAGCTTGTGAGTCCATGAGAGCGGATCCCTCTCTCAATATGGGCCTCTGAGGTTTCTCACTTTTTCTGACTGGGTTTTGAGTCGTTCCTGATTCAGGAGTGTCCTAAGATAGCGTTTGTTATAATTGTATTTCCTGAGTTCGAACTGTTAGATTCTCTGGTTGTTGGCGAAATGAAAACTTGGTGAAGTTATCAGAGGAAACTACTGTTGTGATTTAGGGCTATACAACAATAATTGAATTAAACTGCACAAAACATTTCTTTAATCCAGTTTTGGTTCAATGCAAACATAACTGCACTCATTTAGTTCAGAAAAGTCTACCAGAAAACAATAGACCAACTAATGTTCTTAAGTAAAATAAAAATGTATCCTTTGGGTGAACTTCCTCCATAATTAAAAACATGAGAATATAAAAAACCACCATGAACACTCCGTTAGGTTTGCAACCCTAAACCTACAAACTTTCCACAAACAAAACAATGGAGACTGCGGCCCCTCGACCCGAAACGAGCCTGACACACCCCACTGTTTATACATATTTGTCTGACTCTAATGGATTAAATTATAAGCCAATTCGGTGTAGATGCCAGGACTCCATGAGGAACACGATTGTGAAAAAGCAGAAAGTGTGGCAGTGTTTTTGTTGGAGCAGGTTGTGGCCAGGACAAAGTGGTGACAGCTGCTTTGGTGCGAGAGGCCGAGGTGCCGCAGCTGGCCTCAGAACTGGATCTGAGATTGTCAAAATGCTTTTCTTCAGCGAGTCGACAGAGAGCTTACTTTTGAGTCCTCCGAACTTCTCTTGTGCGGATCCCGCTGCTGCAGAAGACAAAAGAAGAACAGAGACAACTGAGTGACGTCGAGTTGAATAGAATACATGATGACACACTGATGTGAAAAGAGGAAAGAAGGCTGATGAGGATAATTGAGTGGATTTGTTTAAAATAAGGAAGAAAAAATGTCTTCAGTTTCTTTGACATTCTCTTTCTACAGTAATCGTGCGGGATTTTCTTCAATATAGAGGAGACTGAGGCGAGTGGATAAAGCTATATACATGTCCATTGAGTATTTGATGAGATGGTACTAAAGCCCCATTTCCACCAGCCCTACTCTAACCTGGCTGTGTTTCCATTATATTTTAGCATCAGGAAACAACATAACTAGTTTATATGGGAATTCTGTGGTAACCATGACTCCCAGCAGCGCTCTGGCCATTAACACTGAGAGGTTGAGATGGAGTTTCTTCCTTGAAGCCATAAGACTACTAAACTGGGCCCCAACTCTGTCTGTTTCTGTGTTATTATTCTGTCATAGTGTGTTTCGAATACTGTACTGAACATCTGCTGGAAGTACATAAAAATTTCACTGCATGTAATGTGTATGTGACAAACAATAATAAACTAAACACAGTTGGAACACATTGGTCTCAGCTCGGCCTGGATAGAACCTTGGCCAAGCATCTGCTAAAAAGTACCAGGTACAGGTTTAACAAGGCTGGTGTAAACGCTTCTAATCGGGGAGAGCCAAGTAGAGTATTAGAGATTAAGATTATGAGATCCTGTATAAATTTCAGTGTTGCATCACCAGTTTCAGGACAGTAGGTAGCGGCACAAAAATAAGTGAACAATAACTCAAAACTAAAATAAAATAAAATCTCTAACATCAGAATAATAAAGAAGCAAATAGGACTGGTAGAAATCTGGCTTAAGATTATTATTTTTTACAGTCTATAATAGAACCTCATAAATTGTAAATACCAATAACCTTGAGCTAAAGTAAAGCATTAAGAGCGCAGTATTTGCTGGGTGTGTGACTTGTGATCAGAGGGAGAGAACATGGTCTGTGTCAGCACTTGAAACCCTTTCTGTGGAGAAAAGGGGTGCCATGCAATGTAAATAGAGAGCACTTAGCTCGAGTCATAAAATCTCCTGACTGCAGGGGGCCGCTGGCTCAGGGCCAAAGCATCGGCTGCAGCAGACACCAAGGAGGCATCAGGAGGGAAAGCAAAACTACTTTCTCACAACTGTCTGGAACAATACACAGCTGTAGAGACTGAGGGGAAGACGTATCCATTTGTGATCTCTGTAATAATAATCACTTGGTAATGCTGATAAGTTATATATTCCTGTACTCTAGCTTGTTCTATTCTTGTATTTTTTACCTTGTTTTATGTATGTACTTGTCTGGTACACTCTGGGGACTTTTGCAAATGTATTTCAATGTGGTTTTACTGCAAATAGCAAATACACTGAATCTATTATGTATTTTTCATTCCTGCTGCTGTCAGACTGTACAGCTAACAATGAGGACCACCAGACATTGCTGACTGGACCTCACATGTCGTGCATCTGTGCAATAATTTGAACCGATGTCAGAATGTGCAATATGAAACCACATGTGTCCACTGTCACTATACTTAGTCGCTTTGTCCAATGCCCTCATGTACAGATGTAAACATACAACAATGTTTCTTGCACTAGAACTTGCTTCTTTATTATGCTAAAGTCAGATTTTATTCCCAATTCTTGCTTCTTCGTTATGCTAAAGATAAAGATTTAAGGTGTGCTTTGTTATGCTGAAGTTACAGTTTTGGTTTCATTTTATTTTAGTATAGAGTTTATCTTGTGTTATCTTGCTCCTCATTCCTACTGTAACGGGTGATGCAATCTTAAATGTATATTGTTTATGCTAGTTTTTGACAAGTTACTTTTTTGTCTCACTGACGCACAGCGATAGTGTAAGCCTGATTGATTGCATTAGCTACAGTTGGGTCTAAACAGTGAGTCCCATTAGCCGCTTTGAAGAACGGTCGCAGGAGAAAAGGAGAGAGGATATGTTACACCTTTTGTAACACCAACAGTGTCACTGAACGACATTTGGCCTATAGTCACGTTACTGATGGTGACAGCTGCAGAGCGCTGGGGCAAACAAAGATCCTTCGGCCATAGATTTTATCCACAAGCTTTTGTCAGAGCCAGAAGTTTCCCCTCGGAACCTATAGGAGTTGAACACACTGACAAAAAACCTTTCTGCTCTGTCTATTTAAAATGTGTGCTACAAAGGCACTCACGGTTCATGATCCGGGATATTCCAACATTGTAATGTACAGTAGGTCAGTAAGTCCGTATCAACTAGTGGACAAACAGTTTGAGGTTAATTGAATAGACATGGGTCCCATTTCACATACTATAAGAAGTTTAAGAACATATATGGACATTGGTCATCCTGCCCCCTACGCACCAATGACTGTGTGTGTTTGTTATTATTGCATTCCCTGAGTTCAAACCGTTTGATTCTCTGATCTGTTGCTGGCGAATCGACAGCTTAAAGTCCTCTGAGACGACTGCTGTTGTGATTTAGGGCTATACAAACACAAATTGAATTGAGTTATTGAATTGAATTGAATTGAATTGAATTGATTTATGTGGTGAAAGACCGGTCGTGAAGCCCTCCTGGTCGCCCCCTCCTGGTCGCCCCCTCCTGGTCGCCCCCTCCTGGTCGCCCCCTCCTGGTCGCCCCCTCCTGGTCACCCCCTCCTGGTCACCCCCTCCTGGTCACCCCCTCCTGGTCAACCCCTCCTGGTCAACCCCTCCTGGTCAACCCCTCCTGGTCAACCCCTCCTGGTCAACCCCTCCTGGTCAACCCCTCCTGGTCAACCCCTCCTGGTCAACCCCTCCTGGCCACCCTTACCCCTCCGGCCTTGAGCAGCTTGCGGCGGAACTCCTCGGTGGGGTTGTTGAAGGTGAGCTTCTCGCAGCGCAGGTGGTTCACAGGGGGGTGGCCGTCCAGGTGCAGGAACAGGTCGTAGTCAAAGCGCACTTTCTTGGGTTCTTCCTGAAAAGTACACTCCATCAGCCTCAAAGATGGACCAGGACCAGATCACCACGAGATAAAACTTTTACACCGGGATTAAACCAGGACTAGAGCAGGACCATGAGCCAAGCTATGAAATTGGTGATAATGATGTGAGGTCTGGGTGCTTGATTAGAGATAGAGCAAGGAGCTATGTCACATAAATGCAATGGAAGTGCAAGTTTGTCAGATTGTAAGATTGTCGCATGCGCTCTGTTTTGATGTCCTGTTAAGTTTTTTGTGGTCCTATAGGTCTCTGATGGTGCTCTGACCTGTATCTATCCAATGTCTATTTAATGTCTAGTGTGGTGTATGTAAATGTATGTGGTTGAATGTAAGAGCTTTTAAGTGAACACAGAAGGCTGATGCGAAGTCTGCTCCTTTTCTCTGCTTTCACAATGAGGACTAAAAATACACGATTTGATGAAAATGTCAGATTAATTAAAGCATGCAGCTGTGCCATTCTCTGCAGCTTCACTATGTATTCGTTAAACCAACTGAGAGTTCTCATATACATGCAGCCACATGGATCATATAAGAGGAGGTCTACGTTCAACACGTAAAAACAGCTTAAAATAAATTCAAATCAATCAAAACATGAAAAGGGGAAGCGCAAGACGAACCTTATTTTTAAAGTAAACTTCAATGGGCAAGATGAAGCCAGCGTAACCCGACTCCTCCACTTTGTAAGGTGGGTCCCTGCAAACTGTAAGGAAGAGAATCAATGGGTAATTCATAAATAATAATAATTTTTTATTTGTACAGACAACAAGAAAGATAAAACAAAAATACAACATGTAGACTTAAAAATGTAAAGCTCACTATTATCAGTTGTTATTGGATATGGACTGATAGAGTTCATTATCTTATATGATTGTTTTCTTTCCTTTCTACAGTATTTGTATGCATTTTGGAATTATCATGGTCTTTTATATAGTTTCTCTAATAATTTAGCTATGATTTAACTATGATTTTTAATATTCTACCGTTAATCAAAATCAGTGTTTACAAAGCTCTGCACAGTCAGCATAAAACAAAAACAAAAAACAGTCATAATAATTCAGGATATCAAAAAGAAATGCAGAAGAATAAAGCAGACGGAGGGCACACAAAAAGAAAAACAAAAAGACATGTAGAGTTTAAAACAGACAGGTATAGGAAGGCTGTGCGATAAAAGTGGGTTTTAAGGAGTGATTTAAAAGAGGTTACTGAGTGCATGAAAACATAGGGCATGAGACATAGATGTGTGTCCTTTTTTGTCATGCTCAGACTTATGGAGCAGGTGCATTTGTACTGAACATGCAACCCCATCCTCCTGAGAGCTCATTAAGGCACATTCCCATCACCTTTCCCGATATGTCGATAAACAAAAGCTCGGTAAAGTAAGGACAAAATCTAGAAGCAGTAAGAACTGCCGCCGCACTGAGCACCCCAAACATCTGCAGCCCCTGTTCTCCCGGGAGAGGCCACAAACAAACAGTCTGCTCAGGTGTGCTCCTCTCCAGGGCCCTGTGTCAGCCCTGCCTCCTGCTCCCTCTGGAGAACACGGCTAAATAAAACCATGAAACAAGATAAGCAGCTAAAAACATGTGTTTACAGAGGCCATCATTAGAGCAGGCTGCCATTTCACAGGCCTCATCGGGAAACTACTAAATGATGTGGTTATTTAGACAATATTAGAAGTAAAGCAAGTAATCTTTTCTTTAAACAAAACTTCCATAATTGCATATGTTAAGAATTGTTTTTACAAGAAGTGATTTATGCAAAAACATTATGTCCTCCATGTGCTTTGTTCTTCTCTACAGCTACACATGAACTATGAAAATGACCTGATTATAAAGGCAATGACGTTGTATTTTTTGGTTCATTCATTCTCATCCCCTTTATTAGCCCATTTCTGCCTGAGGAGGGGGGGGGGGGGCAACCAATCCAAGCCTCCACCGAATTCTCATATAACCATCCTCCCTGATCCTGCTGCAGGTGAGGGGTCCACCGTCTCACAGCTGGGGCTTCAGGCAAAGTGGGGCAGACTTCAGTAAGAGTAGGTGACATAAGTTTATAATAGTGACATGGGAAGTGTCTTTGAGTATCCAAAAAAGCGCTATATAAAACCAATGCATTATTTTTATTATTGTAAGTCGTGAGGGGATTTTTTTTGTAATAAATAATTTATTATTTGTTTAATTTGTTGTTGCAGCATATCAAGTAATGGTTAATAGGACTAATTTGGAGCACGAGGGAGAGATAGCATTTAGAAAATGAGTCAATAGTGTTGAATTTGGTCCTGAAAAAATGAAACGCTAGAGTAAGGTTGTCCTTTGGGTTAGGTTAAGATCTGATTTAACATGTGGGCTCCCCAGCTTTATTTCACTCATACAAGTTTGTCTTGTTGTCTCATGTATCCATCCAAGTTTCAATCCCCCTCTTTAAAACATCTCATCCATATGCTCCTAATCTGAAGCCTCAGATGATTGATAGTGGCTGGTCTCGCTCACCTCTGGGGCCAGGCCATGCAAAGCCAATACCGCTGAGTAAATATTATGGGTTAGAGTTAATTGTCCAAACGGGTCAAGTTTAATTTCAACGGAGCTTAAAGACACCATTCATTCCCAGCACCGCTCTAAACCAAGAGAAGCAAACTGAAAACTACAGGGAGTCCATACAAAATATATGTTTAAGTTTGTAGTGGTTGGTAAGATATCAGATTCAGATTCAGTTTATTTGCCATTTGCAGTAAAAAAACCCACATTGGAATACATTAGCAAAAAGTCTCCAGTGTGCACAGACAAATACAGACATAAAACAAATAAAACAGTAAACAAATGTCACTGTTAAATCGATCGACTAAAACAGTTTCAAAACAAGTGCAAATCATTAAAGTGCTCTGTTCACACTGATAACAGCTTGTGGATAAAAACTGTTAGCGTAACGAGATGTCCTGCATCTCAGAGAGCGATATCTTCTGCCAGAGGGAAGAAGCTGGAACATGGCTTTTCCAGGGTGGCCAGAAGAGTCATTAACAATCCTAAGAGCTTTGTTTAAAAGTCTGGATTTATAAAGAACCTCCAGAACAGGAAGCTCACAGCCCACGGTCCTCTTTGCAGAGCGGAGCACCTTGTTTAAAGCTCTCTTTTCTTTATCTGTGATGTTTCCAAACCACACAGACACAGAACCAACAAGTAAACTCTCAATGGTGCAGCAATAAAAGTTAAGCAGAATCTTAGAGTTAGTGGTAAATCCTCTAGGTTTACGCAGAAAGTAGAGACTCTGACGAGCTTTCTTAACGACTCGGTCAGTGTTTTTAACCCATTTCAGGTCGTTAGACAGAGTTAAACCCAGAAACTTGCACTCCTCTACGATCTGTACCTGGGAGTTGTCGATTACGACAGGCAAATGAGAACTATTGCGACTGAAGTCGTAGACCAGTTCACATGTTTTCGATGCGTTCAACTGGAGGTTGTTAGTTTTACTCCACTGAACCGCATTTTGTATCTCTGCTCTATAAGAGGATTCATCATTGTCACTGATGAGACCGATGATGGTGGTGTCATCAGCATATTTGATGATCAAGTTTGAGTCAGAGGAGGGCACACAATCGTGAGTGTACAAAGTAAAAAGCAAAGGACTCAAAATACATCCCTGAGGAGAACCAGTGCTCACAGAAACAACATCAGAAAAACAGTCATTGATTTTCACTCTCTGAGATCTGTCAGTTAAAAAGCTAAAAATCCATTTACACATGGCAACACTTAAACCGAGAGACATGAGCTTTTCAATCAGTTTACCTGGGACAAGGCAGTTAAAAGCAGAGCTATAATCGATGAAAAGCATTCTCGCGACAGATTTACTAGTGTCCAAGTGACTGTAGACAGAGTTCAGAGCAAAGGAGATGGCATCCTCCACACTCCTGTTCTGTCTGTAAGCAAACTGGAGCGGGTCAACACTCACAGGGATCTGGCTCTTAATGAAGTCCAGCACAAGCCGCTCAAAAGTTTTACCTTTACATGACTTTACATATAACAGCACTTTACATGCCACAATGTTAAAAGGTGCACTGATATGATGTAGGTATAAATGTGTTGGATTGAGAATCGTAAATAGAAATACATTTGCAAATACATATTGACGTTGTAAATATACCAACACATGGTGAAACTATGGCAAATACAGTTTGCAGTAACAAAAGAACGATGTACCAATGTATCTCCATAAACAAAGGAATGTAAATATTGTAAATAAATATATTGCTCGAATTAATAAAAATTAAAAATCTACAATCTTATTGAATTGCCATTGTGTGTTAACTTTTACTCATGAACTGGTTCTGTACTTTTTTTTCCAAGAGAAACAAGTTTTTTTGTCACAAGTTAGCTGGAATTTGAGGAATTTCAGTCCCTTCACTAGTTCAGTTCTTATTGGATATGGACTGATTGAAAGAGTCTAGAGATTGGTATCGAACATGAAAACGCTAGATAGCTAGTGTTTATAGTTATACTATCTTAAATAATGGGGGCGACAGTAGCTCAGTTGGTAGAGCACTGGCCTTAAGGCCTGAAGGTCGTGGGTTCGAGCCCACCATAAGACCTACTTCATGACTCCCACTGATGACTGCTGTTGTTGTGTCCTTGGGCAAGACACTTAACCCCACTTTGCCTGAAGCCCCCACTGAAAGATCTCAGCTTCTGTGGACTCACCACCTGCAGGAGGATCAGTGAGGGGCTGGTGCTCTGTGTACTGGGTGCAGCTCTGACTGCCACCCCCCCGACCCAGAAATGGATTAAGGGGAAGATGATGGATGGATGGATATCTTAAATAATATATGTTTCTTTCTTTCCTTTCTATTTGTGTGTATTTTGGAATTATCATAGTCTTTTAAAGATGTTTTCTAGTAATTTAGCTATAATAATTATAATTGTAATTTTAATATTGTACCATTAATCCCATCTATCTTTTTCTTCTTTTTCTTCATTTTCTTTCTCTTTGCTTGTCTGTTGCTTTCTCTTATGTAAGTGTACTACATTTATGAGTGTGGTATATGTATGTGCACCAGATGTAATTTATTGTATACAAATTATAGTTTGCACTGGAACTGAAAACTTTCACACACAACATTTTTTGATGTATTGTGTGCATAATCTTAGTCCTTTTATTTCTCCTTATTCGGCTGTATATTTGGGATATTTTGATGTCACAAATATGACATCAAAATATCCCCACAGAGGGACAAAAAAGGTTTATCTTTTCTTGTATCATCTAGAGCTGCAACTAACGATTATTTTGTAATCGATTAATCGAGTAATCGCTTGGCTGTGAATTGTGTAGAAAAAAAATATTTTTTCATCACAAAAAGCTAAAGTGGCAACACTCGAGGACGTATTGATGGCGTAAACTTAAAGTAAATGTTTGTAACAGGCCCTTTGTGCTAATTCTGCTATCTGATTGGATGAGACAAACAGATATTCATGAAATTATAAAAAACAAAGTCGGTTTTAATCAAAAATACTACATTTTCACGTCATTTTTGCTCTGTTTGAGTCCCTGTGAACCAGAAAACGATTAATCGATTACTAAAATAGTTGTCGACTATTTCAATAATCGATTAGTCGTCGATTAATCGATTAGTTGTTTCAGCCCTAGTATCATCTCTAGCTTGTAGGGCACTAAATGTTTGTGTCTCATTGTCTTTAAAGATAAAATGGGGACCGA